CCAGTTATACCGATAAAGTAGGTGTGGTTGGTACCTATGTCGAACAATTTATCGAAATACTATATTTTATTTTGCATTTCTTGATCAAGAATGTTTGCGAAAACAATTTACTTTTGTCACACAGTGAAATATAATGAAATCTAGTTCGTCAAAAATAGTTTTAAACATATTGATAAATTGCGATAAACAGTAAATGTCTATACAATAGAAAATACCAATCGATATTGATTTTACAATAAATATTTATCAGTAAATGACGAGATAATGTTTGACCGAGCCTATAATATATTGTGCATAGTACACACTTATATTTCAAATAAGTACGTTTAGTTTTTGTACTTTCAAATGTTTTTGGAACATATTAACTATTCGACTACCTATATATTATGAAGATACAAGAAAATTTTTTTAATTTTTAAAATGTTATTTTACATATATGTTTATTTATTTAGTTTTTTCATCTGTAAGCAATGTGAGCAACTTTTCTAAAAGAAAATCGGATTGGGTAGGTACTTCAGAGATCATTTTTCGATTTTCCTTATAGTTTTCTACGTGAAAAACCTGGAAAAAAAATGGGAATATCGGGAAAAATGTAGGAAAAATGAAACATCGGTACATTAAACAAATATTATTAAAGAAAATATATAATGCTTATTTAATTATTTTACCATAATATGATATGATATGTTGACAAAGCATCACTATCAACCCAACTCCATTCAGAATCGTTTTTTCGTTAACAATGGTTATCGCTGCTTACAGGCATACATTACCTATAACAGTGGTCGCAACCGTCCCCATTGGCCATTATCCTAGGACGCCTTTTTCTATTTGTTCATGTGTACATTTTATACGAATAAAATATTATCTCGATGCTCCCCGGACCACTTATTAATTCAACTAGATAATTATTACATTTATAATATAGTTGTAAACTATCATATTATTATTGTGTGTAGTACTAAAATGTTCTCGTGAATTCTGGTGCCATAATACCGTATTTGAATACATTAAAATTATTATACAGGTTACTATAATATAGTCGTTTCTAAGTATATTTTGTGAGTAATTTTAAATCTCGGTAATTTTAAAAGATATAATAATATGGTATTTATACATTATATTAAACTGTTATATTACCCAGGGCAGAGTAATTATATTTAGAGAAATCGTTAGCTATATAGATGATTTATTGATGACGTTATAACTATAAGGATATAAAAATATTAATACAAATTTAAAATATTTACATACTTTAATGTAAATGTAATTTTTTTATGATTATAAAAAACCCCACTATATTGCGTTCCTCGGGTGGGGCACTGACGCACTGCTGTATAGTTGGGAAGTTCGGAATGTACATCGGGCGTAGGGTAACTGCGTGTAAACTTACTGAAAGTGACGACAAATTATCGAAAAACTGGCAATAGGTTAATAGGTTAATACCTATGATAATGCATGTTATTTTCCCCTGCATAACCAAAGTTACCCAGAAATCAACAAAAATATGACCAATGTATCGTTGTTTGCTGTTAGTTTTTTTAGAAAAATTGTTCAGATGAAGTATCACGGAGTGAAACAAATAAAGCACAGAAACGAACAGCATACACACATTTATCAGTCGGTATATATTTAATCCGCTTTCAATTAAACTACACCAGCGCACGACTTCTTTAATTCAGTATGTGTCACATCGTTTTAAAGTACTATATATTTTTGCTAGTAGCTATTAATAAGACGTGTTGTATAGGGAACTATGTTAAAACCGACCCTAATTATGTATAATCATCACTACATAGTAGTATATCGATTTATCTCTAATATCCCACGATTAAAACATTTGTATGTGATAATGAATAAATTCGATTATTGTAAAAGCGATTTGAAAATATTATGAAAGGAATCGTAAAAACAGGGATCTATTTATTTCACTACAATTTTGTACTAATATAGTGTACACATCTTGTGTAAACTCATATATAGAATACACATCTCGTACATTTTTCCGAGTTTCTTCCGTTCTTTCCGGTTTTCTCAATTATTGGGAAAACTACTAAGAAAATCAAAAATGACCTCCCTAAAATACTATTCCAATCAGATTTCTTTTCAGAAAAAGTACAATAATTGTTGAAAAGTTATAAACAGATAAAAAAATAAATATCGTTGTAAAATTAATACATTCCTCGCTGCACTAAAATTTAAAATAATGAAATCGTTGTGATGTAATTTGAAAAGAAATCGTATTTTTCGTCTTTTCGGTATTTTCTCGATTATTATGCAACTACTTTAGATATCAAAAAACGAATTTCTTAGTCAATGGCTGTATATTAGAAGAAACAAATTAAATTTCTTGTCATTTTTCGATTGGAGCAAGATTTCTGATAGAAAAGTTGTTCACAAACACACACACAAAAAAAAAAAACCACATAGTAAAATCAATAGATCCTCGCTACGCTTCTAATGTAAAACCAATAATGAATTTATAATACGATTATAATGTTACATAAAATGTTTAGTTGTATATACCTGCAGTATTATCAATTACGATTATAATTTTTAATTTATTGAATTTTATTGGTAGATAGGAAATAAACCATTAAAAACATACTTATCTATTAATTATAGGTAATTGTATACGTAGGTAGGTACCTAATGTTGACCTTGTTTAAAACAATTTTTAAAATGTTTAGATACAAATAAAATATAGAAAATTTGTTTTATCTTAGTATTTTATGCCGTTGCAAAAATTGTAAATAAACCGACTATTATTATGTACTCATATTTAAAATAAATTAGAATGATTTTAATATGATTTATACCATTTTAATATATAATCGCGACGCAGGGAATATGAAACCGTGGAATATTTAGACTTTTGTTACGGGACTGTAAATTAAGATAATTTTCCAAAAAAACTTCACCTATTACACCATTACACCTCCAACTGTTATATCCTCAATACAAACACACTATATTAGAAATTAAGTAGAAATAATTTTTTACACAATTATTGTGGTTTACAGATAGTCATAACTTATAATAATAGATTATCACACAATTAAAACTACTATGTGTCTGCTCACGAATGTAATACAACTCAAAATTTAATTTTCCTTTCTTTAAACTTAGTTCATCGATGACCTTATTTTTTATGTCTCGATGACACGACAATAGAGGAAAATACCTAGTAAATATCTACATTTGAACTATGTACACAATAATACGAGTAATAATAACTAACGTTATGCCATTTTTCTTAAATCGTGAAAACATCTATAACTGTTTGCTTAACTTAGAGACTATTATTGGTGCAACACGAATTTATGTACTTGGCTATGCAAACGAAATGAACTTGATAGGGAACAGTAAGGAAATAATAGTGCTAAATATAAAACACTTATAGAAAAGACAGAATTAGTTGGCTTAAAAATAAACAGAAGGAAAAATTTAGAAATAATAATAATAATAAAAATATCATTGTTAACAAACTATAATAAAAAATCTAATTAGAAATCTAATAGCACATGATAAAAAAAAGACCCGGAAGTGAAATGAAGTGAATGAAATTGTGTTTTTCGTACACGAAACGCGTTTATAGTGAACAAGCTTTAAAATTTTTCGACTTTATCAATTTCCATCCGATTGTATACTTACGGAAAAATCTGTGGCAAAATATAATACAGCCAGTATAGGAATCTATAGAGATGTGAAAAATAAGAACAATCGTTCATAAACCAGTAGATATGCGACGAAAAAAAAAAAAAACACTAACAAAAAAAAATTGTTTAATTTAATTGTGATTGCCGTTGCGTAAAGGTTATCACTTATCACCTTAAAACACATTTTGTGTAATATTATTATTATATTCTGTACGGCCGTGGTAACCATGAACGTTATCACGGGGCTGCCGACGTGATATTCATACCCGAATACCAAAGTAGCGTTTAACTCGTACCACGTACCTAATACCATACAGGATGACGCTTTTATACGATTTACGAAGATTTGTGTTATTATTATTATTATTATTATTTTTCTTACAGACAATAATATTATCGATGTTTAGATGTTTAGAACGATCTTGTTTACAGTAATTAGTAAACATACGAGTATTCGAAAATTCTTCGAGTAAAAACGTGCGGCCACGGTTACAATACTAACTATTCGATTAACGGATACGGAAATATGGGTAAAAAATGTCAAAAATACCGCACGGCTATTATCATCGAAAGAATAAAGGTTCTAGAGTGGTGGTGGAGGTCTATAGAAGGAACGGTAGGGTACATCGCCCCCTTCTCCCTTCATTTTCGCTCTTTCACATGCTCTTGGCCGAATCCGTCATCGAGCTCATCGTAAAAACGTGTAGATATAAAAAAACTGCTCTCCCGGTAACTCGTCCCGGATTCATGTCCCCCCCCCATCCCCGGGATTTCACCTTTGCGGAGGAAAAACAATAATAACAAAAACGATAAAAAAAGACATACATGGAACGATGTGTGGGTCACTGTCGTTGGTGAGAAGTTGGAAAAGTAATGGGGAAGTTTGGTGTATATCTGAACGCAACGATTAACCATTGCTTACGAAAAACGATTCTGAGTGGATTTCGGTTGTACACATTTTGAAAGGCCGTAATATTTACGATTCGAAAATAATAAATTTCGTAAATTTTCCCGTTTTTCCTGCGTTTTTCCCGTTTATTATGAACAAATTTCCTTTCAAAAAAAAAAAAACGTGCTACGTTCGAGAATCGGAGCGAAATTTCCGGTAGAAAAGTCGTTCACAGAAAAAAACAAAAATAAAGAAACATCATTGTTCAACCGATACATTTCTCGTTCCGATCAGAATCTAATGCAATCGCTCTGTACTGTCGCGGTGTTATTATGGGCGGAGCACACGAGCTGCAGCCGTTATCGGACTGTCCGTCGCCGTTATCTGACGAACCTTAACCCCCGGGCCCGGTCTAACAGCGTACGCTAAGAATAATAATATTATTACGGGCGAGGCGTCCGCGGTGTCCGTATCGCGTTTGCGACGGTGTTTTCCGCTGATAAACAAACACGCTACACCGGCAAAGTGTTTACGCGTCTCGCAAACACTGTACATAAACATATTATTTATTTATTTGTTTTTCGAATTCGCTACACTGGTGTCGCGTTACCGGGGTCCGTCAGACCGTGCGCCGTCTGCGTCGTCGATGTTTTCGCATTTCCCGCTGGACGTTGCCGTTTAAACGGCCGAGTGCTTTCCGGCACGACGAACCGCACGGAATCGCCCGCCCCGCAGATAACAGTTTGAAATCGTTACCGTCCCGGGGCTAGCCGACCGATCGCGGTGAGTATACACAATAATAACAATAATAACAATAATAACAATAATAACAATAATGACAATGACAGTAATATTAATAACCTACCGATGATGCGGACTCGCGTGCGCCGTCTCCGTCTTTTGCGGCGAATTCGTGCCGTTAGTTATTTGATTGACGTTCGAGACGTAGACGACAGATAAGAACACGCAATCCGCGCGGGTTTTCCCCCCGATATTTGACGTTTTCGAGCGACGCGCGAGCACAACAATTCGAGAGAGAGAGAGAGAGAGAGAGAGAGATGTTCTCGGTTAGAAATTGAAATAACGAAAAACTCTCGCACGGACTCGATGGTCTTCGCGGTCGTTTCGTACAGCCCGATACTGCTATACTTTGTTGGAGAATATTTACGTTCACGGTTATAATTGTCGAGATTAATGTTCGCACGAAAACGCATTATTACTGTTGTTGCAGGGCCGCGTTTAGTGTTTTGGCGCCCACGGACTACAACTGTTTCCGTGCGCCCCCCCCCCTCCCTTCACATTTTCTCGCGAACGTCTGTTCTCGCAAACTCAATTGTTTTTTACAAACGGCCGTACGTACTTTACTGCTGTGACTTAAAAGTTGGCAAACCTACAAGGCAGTGTTCGGTAATAGTATATTTTGAATAAAATCAGTTCTTAAAAACTATTATAATATAATTGTAAAAGTAGAACGATAAATAAATCGTGATAAAATACGAGTATAGAAAGTATAGAAAATAAGTTGGAAATTACTAAACGCCAGAAAAAAAAAAAAAAAAAAAAAGCGATTTTTTTAAACCATTTTTTTCGGCACCCCTAAAAAGTTGCGCCCCGGGCGATTGCCCACCCGAGCCACTCCCTAAATACGGCCCTGGGCCCCTTTTCGGGGGGCTAAGTGTGCGTGCACCGTCTACACTAGCGTTAATCCGGACCTGGTATCACGTCGTGTTAATTTTGCTTCGCGGTTTCGTGCGTACACAGAGATACAGGCTAGGTTACCCACTTTGATATTATTGTTATTGTTATTTGATATGCCGGCGAATATTCACTCGCACCGTATAATCGAAAATAAATCGAATAAACGTAATAATAAGGTACTTGTATGCGGACAAATTGCCCAAATTAATAATTCGAGCGTACCTATAAAGCATTATACTATTATAATGGAACGTATTTGATTTTATTACGATGTTATTAGAACCCCACCATCCCCCAGACGCGCATACACAAACACCCACCCGCCCGCCCGCCCACGGATACGTAATTTTTTATTATTTTTTTTTTTTTGAAAATATACCCACCGAGATTTAAATTGGCGTTTATTATTTGTTATGCACTTTCGCTCGCGCATTCTTCATTTATAATACAACGAAGTGCCTATCTATATCTATCGAAGTATGTATACCCATAATATATTATTACGTTACGGTAACCGGTATTTTTTTCAATTTACAAAATATTGTCGTATAAACTAATTTAATTCGAATTTAAACAAATAACGCTTGTTACGTACAGAAATCTATACTTATATAGATAGGTATGCTCACCATCGAAATTATACACCTTGGTGTAATAGGTACACATATCTTCGGTCCCGGAGAAGAAGTTTTCATTACGAGCAAATTAAATGTTGAAAATATATTTACTTGCCCATAAACTAATACACTGCGTACAATGATTTTGAAAATACATACTCCTATGCTATTTAAACCAACAAATTATAGGGGAAAAAAATTACATTTGACCAAATTCTTTCTAAAAAATGGATGCCAAAAATTGACCTAATTCCCTCTGGAGCCAAATAATTATTATTATGTATTCTCTATTTAAATATATTCATTTTCAAGTTGATCGATATTCTATTCATGACATTTGGTATTTTACGATTTTTCGACGATTTTCTATCTTTATATTGTTGTGTACATTTTTATTGCCATTTTGTATACTGCGGCTGAGTGTAGTGAAGAAGCTATAAGTTTTATTAAGACGTGTGTTTTTTCTAAGAAAATACTTTTATGGTTCGCCAAAATTGTCCAATCATGCTGTTCTAAATATGCAGATATTTCACCTGGTTAAAAATTTAAAAAACTGACAACAAGCTATGGTACGACGGTTTTATTAGATACCGAGTTCCGTTCATGATTCCGGCAGTTATTTTCAATATACATCTAAACTACATTACTCTAGGTATGCCCTCTAGTTCTCAACTTCTAAACTACTCACCTGAAACTGTAGGCCCACGGTGCGAAGTGTGTCCGGCTCCTTTTTATTTTTTTAAATTTATTGACAAAGAAAGAAATTAAATTTTATGTAAAATAGACAATATTAAAGTAACATTAAAATTTAAAAAAATAATAAAATAAAACCATTAAATTATTTTGTATTCCGATATGGAATAGATAAAAAGATACATCATGCGCAAATTCGTAGGACGTTGGTATACACGTTTTAAATTACGCGTAGGTATTCGATATTTACTCTGTCCTTTATAAATAATATTTAACGTTATATTCATTAAGGCTAATCAACGTTAATTTATTATACCGCGTTAACGTAGATTATTGTATTATTGTACGGTCGAAATTGGTACATCAATCATAATTATATATTGTTCAAATCGAACATGTATTAAAAATAATAATCGATAAACACGTAGGTGTTGATTAGACGTGAAGAAATGTGAATATTATTAAATGTTTAAACAGACATTCAACACGTTTTTTTAAATTTTTTTTAAACCTTAAACGCAGTATATCTCTGTATGTATTTCACATTGACGAGTAGAACATCTATTTTTCCGTACAAGGTCCAGCCGCAGCAACATTGTCCTTTTACTTATACCGTCATCACCGAACAAATCACTAATACATTATAATTACTTACAAATTCAAATTCACAGTTTTATTGTTCTACAGACTCAATGGTGTACATTAATCTGAAACAAATGTATCGGCTTACACTATCACTACATTTGAAATGTAATGGTGCAAACTCATCTTTTCGCATTACCAGACAATTTTGAAAACTTGTATTATAGGTATCACCTGTCTATAATTTCTGTTTTCGAAATTAAACCTTTATTTAGTACCTAGGCAAACAATTCGTAATTTTAATTTTTTTTAAAATTTTTGACGTTGTGTAAATGTGTGGCACATACGAGTAGGTACATCAAGATAAATTACGTGAATTAGATCCTCTGTGTCCACTACTATCCCTACATAATTTTATTATAGTAAATTTAATTAATAATCGAGTTTTTAATGTTACTAATTTTTGACGTTTGTAAAAAAAAAAAGCTGAAAATCACTTGTTTATTAGCCAGGAATTTACCAAGAAATTTAGTGTATTGGTGGGTTTGAAAATTACATATTTTAGTGCACCGTCAGAAATCGAGACTAATTTACTCCACTGCACAGATAACAGTCACACACTTCCATCCGTCCCCGACCCACCAGCCAATTTGCTTCTGTACACTAACTTTTCTCGAATAAGACGATATTTTTGACTTGAATTGTCTAGTTGCAGTATAATGCGTCTTGTATAATATAATACAATGACCTATTAAATGTCTGTACGTTAAGCATGCTTAATAATCAAATGTAAAAAATTCAAAGACGTGTGATAGAGATAATAATATTATATTGTCGTATTTATAAAAAACGCAATTAAATCGTGAAAAATCACTTTGGATTATAAAATATAAGACGACGCGTCGGTACATTGCACGAAAATAATAATTATGTCGTCTGGGAATAATTATTATAATTTGGTAATAATATACTACGCAGTGAAATCGATCGATCGACACGATAAACGCCTAAAAAACGCATCGTAACAGTTTTATTATTGTGACTTGATATTACGTCTTATGTATGCCTAGCTGTTTTCGAACATCTTTTTTAATCAAAAGGGTCCGGGGGCCCGAGATCCGCGATCGTTCTACGCGATAAGCGAACAAGCTTATAACCTTTTATTTTTTTTTATTTTTTTCATATAACAAACACACTAGGGGAAAAACAAAAAAAACCAGTTTGTTACCCAAATATTCTCTGCTACCTGCTGTTGTTTTCTGTGGTGTTGTGACGGGCCACACGATCAAAATATCTTCGTAGCTACAGATGGATCCGAGGCTCCGATAGAACGTCCCCGGTACACATACCGTGAAAACGGAAATTTGATTTCGTGGTAACACGAAACTATATACCTAATGTTTTCCAAATCCCGGGTCGGTCTCCTGGTTATAAATTATATTTATTTTCAGACGCTTCTTTTTTATTCACTTACGAAATCGCTATTTCGTTATCGCGTTTTCAATTCATTATAATAATATGTTTCAATCATCGCTCGGTTATCTTTAGCAATTAAGACGAACGGTTATTATCGATGATAGAACGGCAAAATTGAAGACGCACCGAAATCGAAACGCAAGGTTATACGCGTAAACACTCGTTTTCGAATACATGCGAAATATCACTATCATTGTACAAATCTTATCACTAATATAATAATTGATCATGAATTACAATGCGTATAATTTGTTAATTGTACAGATATTGTCATATTTTTTTTTTTCTGTGTAGTTTATCCTGCATAGCACGTAACTGCATTAATGCTTGTATTGTATAATAGCAAAACAATTGCTATAACACGAGTGCGAGTAAATCAGAAATATTAAATATTTTGTTTAGATTCTGAGCGAAGCGAGGAACGTATTGGTTTTGTATGGGATTTTTTTGTTTTGCACGTGAACAAGTTTTCGACCGGACAACTTATTGTTCTAATCATCACCCGTCGGGAATGATTTCTGATAACACATAGTCTCTATCATAGTTGGCGCATTCAGGAGGCCATTTTTTTTTTTTTTGTTTGTTGTTTTCTTAATAGTTGGGAAAAAGTCAGAAAAACGAGAAATTGTATGCAATAACGGTTTCTGTTATTTACGATTTTGATTTTTGATTGTCATTCGGGGGAAAAACAATCGTAGGAACCTAATATTTGCACGGAAAACTTAAATCAGCGTTTTTAAACACTCCGACGTTTTCTACGATATTAATAGCTTAGTAAAGTTTATGGGTTTTTCGGATTTTGTGGATATTAGTCTTTTAAGTTTCGTAGAAAAATGTTAGAAAATTGTACACAAGGTTTCTCATAAGTTATTCTTACGGTTATGTAAATACATAGAGAATCCGTTGTCACGGTTTTTCTCCATAAACATTTGAATTTTAAATGTTCTCGTCATTTTGTATAGTATATTATTTTTCCATTTATGTGAACTGAATTCATCTGACATCTATTGAAGGATTGACCTATTATGGACATCACCACGTGTGAAGTTTTATACCACATTTTGGTAGTTTATATCAGAATAAAAAATAATTCTACAGCCAGGTACAGAATAAAGTAAACCGACCGCGAACTTGTTAAAATTTAACGATAACTTCTTCTAAGTATAAACGTCGTAAAACATCTAGTAATAAATCGACGCATAAATATATTATAACCGGTCTCCGATAATTCCTGTATATATGTTTACAATATATATTCCAAAATGTGTAGTTCATACGCGTCCGTGGCATAGTACTGAAACTATTAAACTATATATTGATTTAATCTAGTAAAAAACTCCTAAATATTTTATGGGCTGACAAATAAAAAAGGTGAGGTGTTGATTCGATCTGAATTAATTCAGTGTTTTTATCAGGGTTGGTAATATACGCATATAAAACGTTTTTAACGTTACACGTATAAAACTTAGTCATAATAACGACTAAGACATTTTTATTTTTAAGTTAATTAAAACAGTGATAATACTGTACATTTTATATTTTAATAAGTATTTAAACTTATAAATAAATATAAAAAATTAACAAATCACATCAATTTGGTGAATTTTCTTAAATTTAGAATAAAATAAAACAAAAAAATTATTGTTTGGTATTGTAAATAATAATGTAGTTATTTATAAAAAATAAAAATGAACTTAAAAATGAATATAACAAATTATCACATATATCTTAAGTAATTAGTATAAAATGTATGAAATTATGATTAAAATCAATTGACAATTATTTTTTCTGATAATTTATGTTCAGTCGCAGCCAAAAAGAAAAAAAAATTGTATACAGTATTAAACGTAAACTGCTAATAGTTTTATGCAGTATATTTTATACATTTTATACAACCGTATTATTCGTGTTTTATATTTGACTGTATTATACGTTCCATCCCTTTTTTTATTATATTTTTGATATTAATGAGGAAATTCTCCTTTTTCTTTCGCTAATCCAGATTTTACTGAGTACATAATCTATATAATGTTGGTACTTTTTTCGGAAATGCCTGTGAATTGTATAAATCCAATACGTATAGATAAATTAATTAATTTAATCTTAATGCATACGTATGTGAAAATAATTTAAAAATATTAAAAACAGTATTTATGTTATAATCAAGTATTTGTCATTTAAAGAGTATTAATTCTAAATTAATATTGTTTTTTAAAAAAAAATGTCTATGCTGTGTTAATATTATTAACTATTATAAAGGTAAAATTTATGATTTCAAGGTCATCGGTATTGAACTTCAGCCTTCATATTTTATTAAATAATGTATAGCTACAAATTCAGATAAAAACAATGGTTACGTCAGAACTATTATTTGGATAAAAAATTATATACCTGTAATTATAATAAACTTTGTTAAATTTTCATAAAATTCGTTTCAACATTAGTTGAACATATTAATTATACGTTTTTTCTTAATAATGGGTTTGACAATAATTATAATACTATTTTGAAAATAAATAAAAATAATAAAATAATAAAGTAAAAAAAAAATTATTAAAATGTTTAATACTCATAAACAATTAACGTAAATAAATATATAAATAAAAACTTATATATAAAAATAAAATAAATAAATGCGTCGCCTGGCGTTTTACATGTTGACTGTAATATACCTGATGATGAATTTTTAATTCGAAACCGGTCGTATAATACACTTATCAGTTATCATAATACTCCAGGCGATACATTTATTTGTTTTATTTTTAAAGATAAATTTTTATTCATATATTTATTTGCTTTAAACAAAAATAGTTATTAAAGTTATCATTTAAAACTGTTTTAAACTGCATCGAGTTAGTACATATATCAAGGAAATTGATGAAGCAGCAAATTCGGAAAAAGTGGAAGGGCGAAATGGAAGGGTTCGGTGGAAACGGCAAAAGACCTACGTGGCACGTAGAAGCTAGAAAATACGATTGTTCTTTTGAAAAAAAAGTATAAAGGCGTTTACAACATGACTTTTAATTGATTGTGTGCCAATTGATGTAATAAGGGACATAATAAAATGATTTAACGTACCAATAGTCTTGTATTCTGTACATTTGAAATGTTGTAAAATACTCTAAAATATTGCTCATGTACTCGTTCGTATTAAATAATGAATAAAAAAATTCTAAAATCAAACCAAGTAATAATTTTCGAAAAAGCGTAACTCTTGGAGTTCGAGAAAAACGTTGACTAACCACTTTAGAAAGATTATAATAAATCAACATTATGGATAAAAGTACAATACTATTTGTTAAGGCCAATGTACGCTTCGTATATTATATTAGTTTAATTTATCTGCACACTGTAAAAAAATGCCTATGCCGATCAGTTTTAAAATATTATTGATAAAAAACCCATTGCTTTTTATACATTTGTATTTAAACTTTATTTGTTTAATGCTTATCATTTTGTTTGTTTGGTTAAAATTTTGTGTTGTTCGAATGATAACACACGGTATAATGGTATGATATCATTATACCTGTATTCCATGTTTAATTAAGAACTATAATATTTATTTTTCAGTCAATGCCCGTATTTGTTTGTTATATAATATTGTTTGATAACGAAATCATCTGATATTGATATTCATTTTTTAACACTTCGCATTTATTTATTACGTGCCCCAAATATTATTCGTGTTAAAACGATATCATTATTTATGGATAAAATAACATTGTTCCAATCAAATTCTTCTGTTTAGAATTAAAAAAATAATAAAAATAAAATTAATCAATTATTATACCATATCGCATAAATAATTACCCCCCCCACTGTCAATTATTAGTGCAATTAAAACTCATATTCTAGTTTTTATTAGTGCGCTAGTATTTTCCTAGTATTTTAAGCTCTAATGAAGATACACTGTACTAAGTACGCCATATGGGCGAAACATCCAAAAGTTTCGAAATTAAAACAAGGCCAAGACAAATGGATGCAATGTCGCCAGAACTATTTAACCTGGCATTAGAGCAAGTGATAAGAAATATGAAAGATAACAAATCCATGTAACTATTAGGGGAGAGGATCCTGCTAACACACGTAGACGATATCATTATTCTGAATGATGATCATGAATATTAATTTCTGTTCGTGTTTATGTATGTTGATGTGCACAGGACTGCACGCGGTTTACCGTTAAATGGTCAAACCGTGGTTATAACTTGTTACGCGTTTTACAAGTCGTAACCGCGGTTTTGAATTTAAACCGGAGGAATATTACGGCCGTAGGGAACAATGACAACAATAATAACAATCGTAACAATAGTAAATGGGTCACGGATAAAAGAATCGCTTTTTATGTATTATTTACGTTTGTTTCGTTTTTTGTTTTTAGAGTCTGAAAGACGGCCGAGTAATACCACGCCGCGGTGTACCGGACCGGGCCGATGGCGGACACCGTCGTTCACCAGACCGGACCGATGGCGGACAACAGTACAAGCGGCTGCTATTGCAGCAGTAGCAGCGACGACGACAGCGACGAAGGGGATAGCGACGGGAGCCATTCATCGTCGGGCTGTTCGACCGCCGACGCGGTAGACTGGCAGCCGCTGTCGTCGACGCGACGTCGGCGACCGTCGGACACGGCGACCACGGCGGCTGCGGCCACGGAATTCGATCTTTTAGACGCCCGACGCCTGCCGGACCTGTTGGACCCGGATCGGCTGGTGACCGTGTTGGACAACTGTCTAAGATCGGAATTTGTGCGCGGTTGCGTTGTCGAGACGTGGGACACAGTGCTCAGTGACCACTTGGAATCAATCGCTCACCTCGTGCTGTACCAAACGCCGGAGCACGCCGTCAGCCAGACTGTGTACGAACAGCTGACCGGTCTTTCGGCGGTGCTCCGACCGCCCCTGCCGCCGAACCACCGACAACCGCAAGCTACACGTCAACCGGAACCGGCCCGGGTGGACGCGGAACGCGTGTACGCCACGCTGAGGTCGGCGGCGCGGTCACTGCTGACCACCCGCGTGGACACGTGCTGCCGGCAAAGCATGTGCCGAGCCGTAGGGCTGGCTGTGGTCGCACTCCGTTCCAGCACGCGGCCGGTGTTTACGGTCGAAAATTTCCTCGTCGAGATCAACGAGGCGGCAAACTTTGCCAACTTGTACTGCACCAGGTACGCCAGACGCATTTGCGCCGCGCTCAAGGACATCTACGACACCGTAATGGCCGGCGACTACCATCCGAACAACGTGACCGTCCAGATGGCCGTAATGGAGAAGAGCATACAGGCGGCGCTCAGCACGCTGGTCGACGCGCAGGCCACGGGCGAGCAAAAAGCGGTCGCTCAGCGGTCGTTGCTAGCCGAGCTCGACGGCATCTGCACCACGGTGCGCATGAAAAACCACGGTTGTCTCGACGACTCGCCGACCGCCGCCGAACAGCTACAGTCGCGACGGAAACAGGAGTACGCCGCGGCGGTGGACGTACGCGATATCGGGGTGAACGCGTTCGCCCGTCGGTTCGTCCACTTCACCATGAGTCCCTGGCGGGCGCCGATCAGCATGTACCACCAAAAGTCGCCGGTCAGCGTCGACCAGGTGCTCAAGAACACCGTCCGCCTGATCGAGACGCTCGTTTCGGAACTGTTCAAACCGTGCCTGAGCAACCGTCACCGTCGGCGCCTGCAACGCTACCGCAGCCGCCACAACCACCAGCTCCACGACAAACAGCTGTAGTGTGGCCCCTCACTCTCACCCGCCTCCCACTCACTACCCCCCTAGATTCCTGTAGTCGCTTCATTTTGTTAATATTATTATTTTTATTAATACCATTATACTTATCATCATTCGTTACGTTATTAAGTTAGGAGATTTTTTTTTTTTTTATAGTTTTTTTTTTTTTTTACGACGAACTATTGTTCTACGGTTACGTCATTTAATTCGATATCATGTAAATATTACTTACCTATCATTATTACTATTTTTATTATTTTTACCATTATTGTTTGTAAATATCGTAATTCTTTACGTACGTGTGTGAGCACAGATCAGACCGATTTCGGGCGATTAGCAGAATGCCGCAACTCGAAATTTTTACATATTTCAATTAATTTCCATTCGGATCGTTTTTAAACCAAACGTAACGGTTTTCGTTATTTGAATGTCTTTCGCGAATCTCTGTATATGCGCATTATCTTTACTGTTGAAATTTATCAACCGAGTAGCTTAAAATCGAACTGACCTAATCTCCGAGTAAACATAAACGTATGAACGATTAAAAATTGCAATCAGTTATTCGAAAGTTCAATTACGTTTAGATACTTGGTTTAACTTTAATAACTTTACATTTTTTTTTTTTTTAGTCTGCCAGTCTAGTGAGTACAAAAAGCGCGATATTTCATCGATTAAATATTATGTACATTGCGATAGACGATTTATAATTATAATATATTTTCAGCGAGTTATAACCTATGTCCGTATATTTTTAATATTATTTGCCTGTGCATGTAAGGTATATTTATGAAAAAAAAAAAGGGTTTTACAAATGGCGTTTATCTTATTGACAGTTTTAAATTTAAACCGAACAAATTTGGCCAAACAAACTTCAAACCGTGTATGTTACACGAAACTCGAGTACACCAGATTTACATCAATTTTAGTAGTAGTAGGCGACGTGTGTAAAGTTATTAAAATGCCGCCACAGCGAGATTTACGGGTTCTGTCATTTTAACAGACGAAACAGCAAAAACGTGTTCACGCTACACAAACGGAAAAGCTTTTAAAATCGTTTTTTTTTTTTTTAAGGATTTAGTACTTATTTTATGATAGTTAAGTTTTTATAACTTTTAGATGACAATATTTTGATGATAACCACGTTGCCGTTTTTTGAAATATTAATTATTTAAATGGAAAAAAAATATAGTAAAACACGATTTTTGTGTACCTCCAATAACAAGATGAATATTTATGATACATATAACTAAAAGATGTTATTGATTGCGTTTTTTAGAATTTGTAATAAATCGTATTAGGTTTCATTCGACCGTTCATCACAAATACAAAGTATTCAATATATTACAGCGTTTTCCATCTGACTAGACCCGTTTATACGCGTATACAGTGATATCTACGAGTGTGTCTGGCGTTATAATTTGACATAATGTTGTCTTATTATCGTAATATATGGTCAATTTGATAACAGTTAACAAACTCAAAAACTACAGATCGCATACGAGATACGTATCGAATCCATGTCTTCACACCAGCAAAATCGGCGGTGTCATTTATTTGGTTTATTACAAAATAGCGTAATCGACTTCTATAAATAGTTTGAAAACCTTCAGAGGACAGACAACAACTAGGACCTGTCAACAAACATGAGTAATATGGTAGGTATTCAGTTTTTAGCAATACCGAATTCGCCAAATAAATAGATTGATAAAAATTTGAAATAAATATTTAGATGCGTTTAAATCTTTTTAGCCTAACCTTCACGACTTATTTGTTGGTTAGTTTTTACGTAGCAAAACATTGCGTTTGTTATTTTATGAGCATCAATAAACGTAAGTAAAGAAAATTATATTTACTCGAAAGAACTGCAACAGTTGTTGCAGCAGCAAAAAAAACTGTTGCAGAAACTGCAGTGTGGTTTGTATTGGTTTTATAAAACGCGTGATTTTTTTTTAAACTATAACGATATTTGTGGCCTATAAAGATAACGGGTAACTCGGAAAACTAATAGGAACATTTTAGAAACACCCGACTAATTAAAACGTTCCGGAAGGACGTTTTTATAGTACCTATCTATAATATATTTTTTAATATAAAAGATACCTATAGTTGGCGTTTTTTTTTTTTTAATCTATGATCTAATGGGGTTATAATGTGTACAGTGTACGCACCTATACTTTAGAACTATAATACACGCGTTTGTTTTAAATTAAATCAGTTTTCTTTATTAAACTAACCGTAATAAAAAAAAAAAAACTCTGTAGTCTATTAAACTGTGTTATTTTAATATATATTATACATCGATCTTATAACAAATGAATATGATTATTATCACGGGGGGGGGCAGGAGATTTCGTGTGTATATATAGGTTACGGACACCTGCGCTAGTAATAGAAATTTGGTATTAAAATAGAGCGATTGAAATACTTAATTATTATTATAAAAAAAATAAAAGAAAAACGGTAATATGAAAAACACGTTTCACACGGTGCAAAGTAAACTTGTTTATAAACTCGATAATTTTTTACATTTGCATTACTTGCATAATCACTGAGTATAATTATTACCATCTACTGCCTTTTGTCAAACTTCAAAATAATTTTCTTCTTCTTCATCTGACAATTAATACTCTTTAAGAATGTTCGTTATCATCATTATCATCCTCTCACGGTCTCGAATTAATTCTTTCCATTCTCTCATTCAAAATTTTTATTTAAAAAAACCAAATTCAGTACACACGAAGTATAATTTAAACAAAATCTAAATCAAATTATGGTCTAAAAATGTGTTCAGTATTATTTAAATATTTATCATAAATAATTAATTAAATAATGTGCACTGATATTCATATTTTTACACGTTTTCGATAAATGTAAACATTATATTTTGTAAAAATTATGATTCTATATCTATATGTAAAAAAATTAAAAACTTAGTATCGATTTTAACCATTTTTATCTATACTTGAACAATTCTTTGTACACGCCCTAATTTAAGTACGAATAAAATGGTCGGTTGCTTAGGTTAAGTAGCTGAAGAGGATGTATTATTATTATGTATCGATTCTTATATAAATACAAATCGTTTGATCATAATCACACGTTTTGCAATTTTGATTATTAAGAGTTGTTTAAATGTTTATAATATATAGTCTAATTAAATTCCATTTCTTAGTTTTTGGTATATTTTCATAGATAAATAAAAAAAAGATTAGGTATTTACATAAACATAAATATATGACACAATATTTATAAAAATAACACATACGACACATACTGGTTACTATTTTACTAAATTTAACCAAAAGATACAAATAGTATTTCATGTTCAACTTTTTAAAATTATATGCAAATGTTTGTATAATTATAAACTATGTATAATAGCAGATTTTAATATGAATTCATACCTACTGTTATAACATTAATTTGAAGAAATACTCAATTGGTGTTTAATGTTCATTAACCTTTAATATTTTTCAAAAACTGTCAAGTTGTTGGTTGCACGCCATGAACTAATCCGAAATAATTCGTTCCTATTTATTATTATTCGTTTAATAATATATTATGAAGGATTTATTTACTCTTGAAATTGAATTAAATTCACCGATGTAATTAAATTAGTTTATAATATGTACACTAAAATCAATAAAAGAACAATAATATTTTAGTATTTTTTATTAACTCGTGCCACCAAACAAATTGAAAAAAAAAAAAACCAATATAAAACCTCAAAGTAGTAAGATAACTAATAAACATTGAAGGGGAGAATGGGGCACAGTGAGACATTCAATATTAAAATATCCATGTTTCATTCAATTTTAATGGTTCATAAAAAGTCTTTACGTTGCTTTTTTCTAAATTAAGTGTTCATTTAAGTAATCATTTTAATTTCATAAATATAAAGATATTTGTAAAATATTATTAAAAAAAAAAATTATAATAATAATAAAAAGAGGTCAATGGTTTATTTAATTTATATATAATTATAAACGATATAAAATTAAATAAATTTTTTTATTTTGAATTATAAAATATAATACTAGACGAGTCACAAACCCTTACTTTAATTAATCCTTTTATTATAGATTTCGAGCGTAGCAAGGGAGCTGTTGGTTTTACAATTCTGTTTATTTTGTCCTCTTCTTTGTTTTAGTCTGTGGACACGTTTTTTACTGATTTTTAAGTGTAGCAAACTTTTCTGAAAGCTCAAGTTGTCTAGATTGTACTCTAACAAGATCATATTTTGATTTTCGACGCCATTTTTTAAATAAAAGCACATAAATGGGGAAAAAACGTAGGAAAACGTACAGTTTCACGATTTTATTATTTTATAAAAAATAGGCGATGTTTTGTACCAAAAAAACTATTTAATCGAAAAATCACAAGACACATTTTTCGTTGTCTTTTTGATTTACTTTCTTACGGTACCATCGTTAAAACTTTTGAGCTTTTAAGGAATTTTAATATTTGGGTTTTTTTTTGCTGTAATTCGCTTATAAATACACGTAGAGATTTGAAACTTGGTCTATTGGACTTACCTAGACGTGATAAAATTTTCAAACTTATCAGATGACTTTTATTATTTTTTTAATAAGCGTTTTGAAATTAAATTTAAACGATAATCGCCAAAAAATGTACGGCACTTAAAATTATGTATTACCGAACTACGGTCGAAATTGTCTTTTATCAAGCAATGATTTATCGTTGTTTACAGATATAAATGAAATAACCTTATGTATTCTACCTTTTAAAATTTTCATCTACAGCAGTGGCCGTTCCCGTCCTCATTATCAGCTCTATTTTCTTATTTCAAGTTAACAACATTTTAAAACGTGTTTATAATCATGTTAATAATAAGTAAATAAAATGTAAAAATAATGATCCATCAGATTATTACAATTTTTTTTTTTTTTTTTTGTCTAGCAGTATTTTTATTTTGATAATTTTAAGCATGCCTTTATTGAACGCTATTATATAAGTATATTTTATGTTTAGAATTATAAGAAAATAGCAAGTTATATAGTTTAGTTTATTTTATACATATCGGAAAATTTAGAATGTTTATTTATGTTATCTAAATAATACATATAATATATTTAACACAGACCAAGACATAAAAATAATAATAATAATTATAATAACTTCACCAAACTAGGTTTAAATCGTCAATGTTTTTTTTTGGTTTTAATAGTGAAAATCAAGGGAGTTGTGATAGACAACAATTTTGTCATCGGGTATTATTAAACTATCATGGCATCAAATGGATGAATGGAAGGTCTCTTATTGGTACGCATCAGCTAAAAATCATATGTTATTTGTACACTGTCTCACTGTTAGGAGCATTCTCTCTAAAGTAAAAAAAAAAAAATTAAACATTGTTATTAAGTTTTAAAACGGTCCATTGGTACAAACCATCGGTATAAATTAATAACGAATTTATAATAAATATATAAAAATAATCAAAACGTACAATAATTATTTACCTTTATTAAAAAAAAAAAAAAAAATATAATCAAAAAACTTAACAATTTCCTAATTGATTAGGTTTCTTTCTTTTTGCTTATAGTGTACATAGGATTAAAGTAAATTATATTAGATATTATAAATTGAGAATTTTTTTTTTTTTTTTTTCAAAAAATAATGGTCTATAAAATAAAACAATATTTTAAAATTTCAACGCATATAACAATATTAAATTAATTTAAAAAAAAAAAAACAATATATACATACATACATACAGATTGTCTTATGAATATATAACCATTGCAATATCTCCTGAGATAGTAAAAATAATTAAATTCCGTTTGTGTTTATATTACTCGCAGGGATAAGGACTACGAATATTTATATGTGTATTAAATTTTTTTTGTTTTGATAAAAAAGCCCGAAAAAATAACTTTAATTTCATTATTTTTGCAAAAATTAAAGATAATCACTTTAGAGAGTTTATTAGAATTTGTCATTTTTATATTGAGATTCCTCTGTCGTTTCAACTTTTTATTTTCATTAAATTCGTGATTTTTAATTATTTATTAAAGTTCAGAGAAAAAAAGTGTATAGTCAATTAGCCATAATAATTATAATAATAAATTATCGAATGCGAACAGCCTGCTGCATAATTATAGGTAATTTTCTCTAAACTTTAGCAAATTACTAAAAATCACGAATTCAATGAAAATAAATAGTTTATAGGTCAACATTTCGCCGAAGAACATAAACTCCACAAAACGGCAATTGTCAAATTTTTCAAAAATAATATAATGAAAAGTATTATTTTTTTTTTTAAGGTTTTCGCCAGAACGTAACAATTTTATTCAGGTAACTATAAATATTTGTAGTGTAATATTCGTGTATCCCCGCGAGTGACATGAACAAAACGGAATTTGACGATCTTTATTATCACCCATGAGGTATTACGATGGGTATATTTTCGTGGGCCATTCTGTATATAATATAATATAATATATATTTGTATATAAATTGATAGAGTATCAATAAAACTATGCATAACATTATAGCGACGGTGTGTTTAAACAACACGACGTTACTTGTACAGACTGCATAGATAATAAAGACCCGGATGGAACGTCAACTGAGGCCACTGTATTTTCGCGGTCCTGAACTTGTTCACTCGTGAGGACATCAGCACCGTCCAAGTGAGATCATAAAATGTAACATAACGCATACAACAGGTGCCTGCCATAATACGCATATGCATATTACGAGCGCTACAGCGTTGTACACTGATAATTTGACATTCCCATTCGAGGTTTTATCATCTACGGCTGACCCGCAACATAATAATATTACGTCGAAACGGTACTGGCAAAGCAATTAACGATCATTATTACCGGCATTTTCCGTTTTAATATTATTATTGTCATAGTGAGTAAAAAAAATCAAACGTATATCGAATAATATAGTATGTATAACAAAATAAAATATAAGTTTACAGTCGAGGAAGATACACACACGCATACTTGGTGATACTACAATAATCACAATATTTAAACGTCCGTTTAAAAATAGCATAACCAAATTGAGCAAAGGAGGCCAATCGCGATCAGCAAACGAACGCGGACTTGAGCCATTCGGCAAGGTTCAGTTTAATGTTTCCGTTAAGAAGCGGATCCTTGGACTCGAACAAGTTGAACGCGATGCTTAGATGCAATATTGCTGATACGAAATCGCCAAACCTCAAGGTGCCATCCTTTCGCATGTACCTCAATATGAGGATGGACAGTACTTCGGTATTGACTTGGAAACCGACCTCGAGTAGTGCGTCCTTTAGTCGTTCGGCTTTCAGAATGCCAGTCTTGTCTTTCGAATGATTCTTGAACACCGTCTGCCAATATTTTAGACTGCACATTAAGTCCTTAAAATCATTGAATTTAAGACGACCGCCACCTGTGCCCTGTAAAAAAAAAAATCAAATTGATTTAATCAAAATTCAAAAAATCTCTCATTATTCTTTTCAAAATGTAGGTAATTCAAATATTCTTTATCGTAAGGTTAGGTTATGATGATCTCTCGTCATATTCAAATGTTGTTTAACTTAACTATTAGCCATTTTGTTTTTAAATATCGAGCGTTGGAATATTGACAACTATTCAAATATAAAAATGATTCGCACGATGGATGAGCCATTGTTGTAGATGAGAATTTAGAAAGGCAGAGGGAAAATTTAATGTAAATCTGTACGCAATGATTAATCATTGCTAACGAAAAACAATTCTGAGTGGAGTACGGTTATACATAATTTGTAAAGTCGTAACATTTGAGATTTTAAAATAATGCATTCCGTACATTTTCCCGTTTTTCCTACGATTTTCTCCGGTTTTTCACATTTATTATGAAAACTCCAGAAATAATGAAAAAATTGACTCTTTAAAGTACCGTTCCAGTCAGATTACTTTCAGAAAAAGTGCTATATTTGAAAATCGAAGTAAAATTTTTTCTGGTAGAAATGTTTTTCACAGAAAAAAAAAACAAATAAACGTTATTGTAATTTCAATAAAATCCTCACTCTTTAGAGTTTAAAAATATCTCCAATCGTAAATTAATTAATGGAATTATGATTTAAAATTTATGTAAATATTCGGTAAAAATAGGAATTATAGAAAAAAATGTATAAGTTTTAATATTAAAAATAATATACACCAGTTCACTAACTAGTCATTGTCTAGTTATTAATCCTCTGCTATAACATAAGTACATGCTCTAATTCTTTTTTCATTATTTTTTACAATTTCATAATTTCTAAAAGAAATATTTTAATTTCGATGGCAACACACGTGGCATTAATTTTTAATTTAAACATGATGTAAGTTAATGAAAAACAAACATAATGAATTATTGCATCAAATAATAATAAATGCAAACTGAAAACTCACGTCTAAGGTTATAACTACTTGTCGGCAAACTTCCATGCTAGCACAGCTTTTTATGTAATCTGTAATTTATAACATAGGTATTATGTTAATTATCCACAAGCAATAGGTAAATAGGTAAATAGGCAATCAAAGGTACGTTAATTTACCATTTGGCAGACAAGCGTCTAAGAGTTCTTGGAGTTCGAATGCGTTCACTGTCCTGTGCTCGTCAGCCAGTTGTAGAAACACTGATTCGTATTGGACAAATGTTTTACCATCTAAATTCACTGGTGCCTAAAAAAATTTAAAATATGATTAATTAATTAGTTCAAGTTCCTTTGTACATTTTAAACAGTATACCAGTATTGGTACCTACTTTCATTATTGCTGATTTCAACAGCGAAGGAACCGTGTCGAGTAACCTGAAAAAGCCAATGCATATATTAATAACGAAACTCATTCAAAAATATCGTACATTTAAAGCCATACTTAAGTTTCAACGGTTTACTTGAATATACTCTTAATGTGAATCCCGACTCTTGACCTGGTTCGAAAGTGGTAGGTATAATCAAATATCCGCCCTGGTCTAAAAAGCACCTATGACTCACCTAGACAAAATCAATAATATTTAATCCGTAATAAATATAATACTTTGGGACACAATCAAGTTTTTATTATTAATATATCGTACTTGTCTGCTGTTGGTGTACTGCGAGTTAACTAGCGATTTATTTTTTTTGAAAAATTCTTTACCCGTCGAATCCATACACGCTTTTGGTAACGAATATGACGTGAAACCTATTACTTTAGGTTCCATAATGCTATGCTGGTTCAATGAAATAACAACTTCTTCCATTTCGCTCAAAATTAAATGCAGTTGAGGATTTATGTGAAAAGTTTCTGAAAATTCACATTTAAAATTCCGTATAAATTTAAAAGATCTCCGATAAGTTTACAATACGCAACGATTACAGTAGATATTATAGACAAAATAAATAAATAAAATATATTGTTACCACCTGGGTTGTTTCGACATCCTCCGGCTGTCACTCCCCTTTGCCAAGTCCCCTGATGAAGACGCATTTGCCACGTTCGCTTATGGTGCAAAGACGGTTCATCTCGACTGGTATCGCTGTCCAAGTGTACCATTTCCACGTGTGTGAATGTTTTTACGAATTCGTTATAATTCGTCCTGTAAAACGTAAAGCGACGAATTAACTATTTGCCATTATGAAGAGCGTTGCGGTTTCGGAAATAGTACCAAAATTCCCCTTCCATCAAATGGATGGCATTGATACGTTCCTTTTCTTTGTGCGGAACGTCGTCCCAATCATCGGAATCCCTGGACCACGGACCGTTATACTCGGAGCCGGTACCGCCGGGTTGTCGCAATTTGAACAATTGTATCGGTTCGTTTTTGTACGTTTCCAACTACAAAGCAATCACAAGCGAACAATAAAAATAATGTTTCCGGCGAAAAATAGGTACATCAATCGACAACATACTCTTTCCACGGCGCACAGCCTGTAATTGATTCCGACCTGAATGCCGTTGGATAGTTTTTCTGGTATGGTTTTATTGGCCTAAAAAAAAAAAAATAACAATAATAATAATATATATAAATTATTACTTACGTAACTCTATCAACGAATCGGGGTCAAATCCGTGTGTACAATAATTATTACATCACTAATTGAAATTAAGTAAACATCTGAGATATTGGTAGTCGGGGCTTTGGCGAATACGAATTTCACAGAGCACACGTAGCCGTAAATAAAAAAACAATGCAACGCCAAGTGTATAATATTATTGTAAACGATTAGCACGATACGTTTACATTTAAATATTCAACGTCCAATATGCCAAATATTTATAAATACGAAAATCATAAAAAATTTTTTTAACGCGTTTCTATATGAAACTATTAATGTCGGGGCGAATGCGTTTAATTATTATTATACCGACTAGCGACTGTCGATCGAAAATCGGGATTCGCGAAATTATTATTATTATTTCATATGAATAACACCAAACATTTAAAATAACGCTACTTTCGAGTGTTAAAACACTACGTTGGAATAGGTATTGGTAATTAATAAAATGCAGTAATAGTAGTGTAGGTTGTAACAAACTAATAATAACCATGAAAATTAGGCATCGTTTGAATTTTTTTTTTTTTACATTTATCGAACAAAGAGTAATCATAAAAATATTATTGATGTTATCCTATTCAACGACAAAATAACATTATAATAATACCGTTATAGTACCTATACCTGTATAGTAATACATATATAACGAGCAAAACAAATTCTCGTACGAACTTGTTCTATATAAATACAATGAAAAAAAATACAAATAAAAAAACCATCCACAACGTTTTGTATAATGAATTACGATACATTTGTTGTAACGTTTTGCTAAAAAATGATTTGTTGACATGTTTTCTTTTATTGCGGTTGACTTGATCGGAATTGAGACGTTTTAAAAAAAAAAAAAAAAATGATAATAATAATATTACTAGGTTCTTTATAAGGAAATGTCTGGAGACCATTGTTGTATAACGCAGCCGCTGCAGTTTTGCAGTTTGCAGAGGCTTTGAACTCGCCCAAGAGAGAATTTCAGCAACTATCGATGAATTATACGGAATTTGCATTTAATATGTAATAACCGACTGAAATATATTGAATATAATAGTTTCGCCGTTTCCTTACCAATACAGGTAAATGTCTGATATTTTAACAGAACATATATTTTGCTTTGCGATTTATTTTGTATTCTGTCAACCCGATCTGAAACCAAACGGCCGTTGTATAGACTTTTTAAACATTACACTCTAATTATTTTGATTGAAACAAAAAAACCTATAAATCACTGCAAATAACTGTTTTACTTTGCATCACTCTCATTCGACATATAAAGTAAGTGATGCAATTTATTTTTTTTAATTTAATAATGTCGATAACAAAATATAATATTAATAGATTCTGCATAATATAACATCCATACGGTGTAAAAAAAATCGCATACTTTTTCATACTTCAATTATTAGCTTTCCGGGTATGTCTAGACCTAATATACCTACATAACACACCATAACTAATACCATTATCAATGTATATTCGTCAAAATACGTTCCAAATAAAATCAGATAATTGAATACGTCGCTTTTCTATTTAGTATTAATTTCAATTGAATATACACAAATCTAAGATTTGACGAGTATATGCCATGCCGACAATAATTGTTTTCATTTGCTTTCTTTTATTGTTTATTACGTAATTTCCATTTTAAAATCATTTTGCTAGGTATTAAAACAATTTACCGCTGGTAAAAAAAAAAAAAAAAAAAAAAAATAACCGTCGCCGTTTATTCGTATTAATTATTGTTTCCACTTTTTTTTCTCTCTCAATTAATTCAGAAATCCGACAAGAAAACATTACACATATTGTTGAAGAGTACCCACATAAACACAAATTTCAGTTTTCAATGAGAAAAAAAATATAATCTTCGCGAAATTATCATCATCGCCGTCGGAAGTGGCGTTTTGTTTTTAGTCCAAGTGAAATTTTTCGCTGATTTCACTGCCCATAGTAAAAAGTGTATTAATAATAACTAGGTATCATAATATCCAAAAAAAAAAAAAAAACACCCAATTAACAAATGAAACTATCTTAGTAGTTACCTAGTAATTAAATAAACACGGTTCAGAAAGAGAAACTAAGAGAATGAATTAAGTTTACACTAAATGTTAATTCGACTAAGAAGATCGTTATCGTGGAGGAATACGGCAGACGCATCGCAAACTAACATCGTCATCATCAAGAACTATTAACTTTGTGTACATTGTTTTAAATTAACCGGAATTCGTCTAATTGATATTTAAAAAAAAATACATCATAATATTGGATAACATATACGAACACCATAATATTATAATGTGTTGTACTTAGTACCTATACGTTATTTTTATAATAATTGTGTAAAAAAAAAAAAAAACCCTATCGTTTTCTTTTTTCGATAATACGAATATTAATTACACGTGCATACTGTATATTCCTTCTCCTAAGATTATTATTATAATATTTAACTACGAATTTATTAAATTATAATAATAATATAATATTCGTTACGATGCATATTTTATAATAATTTATATTCCGTAGGTACACTTGAAATATACGAAAATATCCTTTCACTATAGAATATTTGCATCTGATTTTTTTTTGTTTTCGTTTTTTCTGTTATGCTTCTTCTACTGCTATTTTATTGCGAACTTACGCTGTGAAATGTTCGAATAAAGAGTACGAGTAAAACCAATATATTATCTGTTGTATTATACAAACGAGTATAATCGATTATTTCAATAACTGGTAGAGAATATTGTAATTATTATTATTAATATGAAAAACAACCGCTCGAATATCTAATTGAAAGAACTAACTGGCTCGCCATAACAGTTCAAATATTATTTCATACTACCTATACGAAAGCATGTATCTATGTATATAATTATATAAAAGAATATCCTCCTAAGACCTTGACATAAAAATGATTTATAACATAATGGACATTTTTTTATCAAGGCGTAGATTCAACGAGCGATATATTCTTTTTCTTCACATACAGGCATCTTCAAGATGCAGTCGTTATTATTTTTATTTTAACACTTTGTTATATTATACAAACGTCTTTGTACGACAGGCACACGCAGTGGCGAAACGAATATGCGGTCTGGGTTTTTGTTTTCTTGAAGATTTAGGGGGTGGGCGGATGGGTGCTCAACATGAACGTAACCAAATGTCAGTATTCTCGTTTACTATTGATTTAGTAAACATCATTAAAAGTGTTCGGATGTATTGGCGGGTGTGCATTATGTAGATTAGAGGTCATCGATTCTGAGTTGTTTTAGGTACGTTTCGTCGCTGGCGCGCACGTCATTATTATTATCATAAATCTTTCGTCTAACGATAAAATCAAAGAAATCTCACAATAAAAAAAGGGTTGTCGTCTGGGAAGGAAAACAAGAGATTTTTCCTTTGTTCTTCTCTGCATACAACTTATTTTGCTTTTCAGATATTATCTGAGTCAATTTTTATCACTAGTTATTAATTAATAGACTGTTATAGTCATGCATACGTATTTTTTATCCGTTTACAAAGAGGGTATAGTTTTACGATTTTATTTATTATTTTTAATAAGCACCTGAGACGATACCGGTTGTACCGTGCACGTGACAATGGAAGTCATGTCCAACATTTTTGCGATCATTCTACCACACGTGGTTTGGTCCTGTCGAATATTGATGCTTTCCGTAATACCGCCTGTTAGATCGGCGAGTCCGTCCAAAAGAGTGCCGTATTTAAGGGCTTCATACGAACCGTGTAATCTGAAAATAATAATAAATTAAATAATAAAAACAAAAACTATGTACCGAAGAGAAGAATTTTAACAGAATAAAATAGAGAGCATAGATATTAAGACAGTGGCCAACCACATAACGCATTACACTATGTGTGTTTAGTATCGTTTATCATAAACATTTCAACGTTTACTCCAACAAAATAATTTTAATTTTTCATACAGACAACGCATTTCGTCTTAATAATATTCTTATGAAAATACATAATGTATACATCAGTATACTGAATAAAAAGCCTCTACGCCGTATTGTCCGAGCACACAAAATGGCGGTCCATTCAACAGTGATAAGCCGAGTTATTGGTCACTCTCTAGAATACAATTTTCACATTTTACTATCTTAAAAAAATATTGTATGCACAATTTCGAATCTAATGAATGGATTTATTTTATACAATTCATAATATGGTCAGTTTTTTTTTTTTTTAACAATTTGTTCAATAATAAATAATATTATATTATAATATTTGTTTTTCAAATTTGAGGATATTATATGACTTTCTCCAAGAAATACACAAATTATAACAAGCGCGCACCCGCCCGAAAATAAAAAAAAACAACAAAAATAATCATGCTTATATTTTTAATTCCGAAATATAATTCGTTTTCAAACATAATTTTTACAAATCATACACGAACGTTACCATAATTATTATTACCTAATTATTATAGATATCCCGATGACAATAATAATCGTTTTATAAATAATATGAATAGTCCTTTACGTCTCAACGATCATTATTATATACTCTCTTATACGATTTTAACATAAAGGTAAACATTTTAAATTTCGTTTTTAGATAGATACAATAATAATTCATTTTCAAAATCGCAATGTAGAACGTCCCGCGAAATAATACACATCCGCTTTGCCGGAGAGAACATTTCGTATAGGAAACAACTAGGTAGATATATGGGTGGGACAGGTGGACAGGTATTATACCTAGACTCGTACGGAGTATTTATTTATTTTTTTTTTTCAAACATTTTTTCGCTTTTATACCGAACGCACAGGTATTTAGAAAAATATCAAATTGAATAGGTACCTATAGTTTTTACCGCCGCCGCGGCGTCGACGACGACGACGGCATTTCAAACGCGCGTTTAATGTTAACTTAAAATACCAGACGCTGCTGCGGCGGCGGTCCGTACACTTTCACAATATTCCAAACGGGTCAATATCAAATAACGCCGAAAGCAGTGTATAATACCAATATGCTGATACTCTGCAGTATAACTGTATACTGAATAATAGTATAATACGATCATATGATAAAACGCCGTTGACGGTCAACGGTACCCAGTGCGCAGGATTCAAGTTCATTGGCAAAACGCGTTTTCGTTGCCGTCCGTTTTCCATTTTGAATGCGATTCGAAAGCAATCGGCTATAACACGACACGGGACACGATCGTTTTTATTTATTTGTTTTTATTTTTTACAAGTCGGAGAGGCACGGGTATAATACGTATAATATAGTACACAAGACGCATGATTTATACGAAACACGAATGTGTTACACCGCGGAACATCGTCGCGGGCTTAGAAAAAAAAAACCGCCTGTATCGCTTTCCAGTTTCGAACGGTTTAGTAATCGAAAACAATGTTCGAAGCATAATCGTACACGATGCAACGAATGCGTATCAAAATTAACAGACACGGTTATTGCGTAAATATTCCCCGTTTTCCGACGGTTTTTTTTCCTCGGTTTTTCACTCGTTATTCAGACAAGTAAAATCAAAAAAAAAAAATACCTCCTTCAATTCACCAACAAGACGGAATTCGCTATCAGTAACCAGTTGTTGATGATCGGAGCGAGTATTCTGGTCAAAGACTTATTCACATACGGAAAAAACCACATAATCTTAGCAGTGTCAGATTGGTCAACAATCGTGGTCAACTTCCAATCGCCCCAATCAATGGCTTATTATTTATACGGAGTAGCAGGATTATCAGGGATATCTCTGACGAGAGTTTGTTCGAAAGTGTTACATTGTTTACCAACTAAAACCTGTCACCTAATTTTCAAGTTAAGTACGCCAGTACAGGGTTATTTAGTAATTCACAACCGATCCCATTTAAACGGAATCATGAAAAAAGCGTGATATCCGAAAAAAAATAGTTGGAAGGGAACGCTGGTTACAACAAAAAAACTCTGTAGATGGCGGATAAACAATGAAATAACGTTTTTTTTTTTTTTTTTACTTTTTACTTTTATTTTTTTTTAATTTATTCGGTATCGTAAAATATAGCATTACCTATTGTTATCGCCTTTATACCAGCTCAATTTAATAATTAACCTAACGTCCCTTCGTGCTAAATACGATAGCACGCCGACCTTGCACGACCTTGCATCTTATTAAAACATCCAACAGTAGTATAATATGATATCTGATATTATAACCAATGACGGCAACCAGGCGCGAGTGTATCAATTTATAATATTCCACGATATTATTATGAATATTGTAATTTTATCAAAATTTACAAAATCTACGGCGTTTATTGATTGATTTTAGATTTTCAATTTGATGAACTTTTATCATTTACTATTTGATCGTAACCCGCGAAACGATCAGCATATAGAAATCACAGTACCATTTGTCATTTCGGGGCAATTAAAGTCCCGTGTCTCAAGTAAATAAATTAACAAATTATCCGTTCTTTACATGTGACACGAAGATAATGCAAAAAATATTTTGACCATCAGATTTACGGATTGAATAAACTGCGGACCGTGGTAATAACCTTTACAGGACCCACGTGTTTTTTATATACATAATGTAATATAGTATTTTATAAGTGGTACAATAAATTGTTGTTGTTTTTTTTTTTTAAGACAATTTAAAACAACCCACGTGCATATACATATAGTCCGAGTAGGTTTGATTACATATTATTATTATATTTTGATCGAAAAACTATCGATCATGTTTTCAAATTACATGAATAATAATATGATCGTAATTTAATCTAAATAATCAGTTATAACGTCTCGTCAGAGTATTGACGTCTGGGTTAGGCGTTATTTTAATAAACGAATCCATGAAATGTAAAAATTTAATTCCGATAGTGCAGTCTCGAAAATGCTGTTTTTCGTCAATGCAATTTCGAACAGACGTTTTATTTCTAAACCAGCTTTGACGAAGAGTTGGTACGTTTTATTTTTTTGTTTCGCACAAATTTCATGAATACATAATAAAATAAAATACGACACGGGGTTAATACTTGCGAATTTATTTGAAAGTCGATTTGATTATTTTCGAGTAGCAGACGAGTTTCCGTTTTCCCAACGATTTCGTTAAAACGACCCCTCGATTACTGGGCGATGAGAAAAACTTCTATGTATATTGTTCGTTGATAATACGGTCGTACTTTATGATGAACCCATAGAGTAACTCTATGGGCGAACCAAACTGCCGAACCCAAGGTCTATTTTACATACTGAAAATACTTGTAAAATTAATTTCAATACCATCATTAATCAGTTTAATGCAGACTCGACACAAAGAAGAAGAAGATTTCAATCGACATAAATATTTAATTTTAATTGATTGGTAGTAGACATTTTAATAGTTTTGATTATATTAATTATAATCATCATATTTTAATGTCTTTAGGTATACCGAAATGAAATAAACTTTGCTTCCTCCCTCCCCATACAAATTAGCCAAGTTACGTCCATGGCTGGGCGTCAAAATTAACATGACGCACACAATTATATTATTATTATTGGATTTCGACAGACACGGGTCGAGAGCAAAGATCTAGAGGGGCGACAATTTTTTTATAACACAAATGTTATTACAATGTTCATGGTTCTAATTATAGTACCATAAGAGTCTAATAAACCACAATTGATTTGTCATTGTCCGAGACCGACAATCTGGTGGCGACATGACACACTCTTGTGGTGTCAACAATTAACACGGAATTACGAAATTACAATATTGGAATCACAGTCCACAGATATGGATAATATATCATATTATTATCATACGTATCTGTAATTGTAACACTTCGGTCGGTTTTTTAGATTCTAAATGGAGCGAAGAAGCTTATAGATTTAAAAAGATGTTTTTTTTTTTTATCTTTTAACAACTTTTCTACCAGAAGACTTGTTCAGATTTCTACGTGTATCACTTTTTCTGAAAGAAAATCGGTGTGGGGAGGTACTTTAAGAAGGTCATTTTTTAATTTTCCTAGGGGTTTTCTCATCAAATTTGAATAACCAAAAAAAAAAAAAAAATGTAGGTATTAGTTAAAATATATTACGGGCTTCTTTTTTTCTGTGAAAAAATGTCCTGCTTTACAACTTTTAATGATAGAAATTTTTCTAAAACTTTACTGGGGAGGTACTTTAGAGAGGTTATTTTTCGTGTTTTTGGCGAGTTTTCTCATCAAATGTGAAAAACCAGAAAAAACCGTAGGAAAAACGGGACAAACGTAGGAAAATTGAGAAAATCGATACAATATCAAAGAAAATATATCATGTCTAATTAATTATTTTACCATAATATGACACATATATCGTTGACGAACGATCACTATCAACTGAACTCCGTTCAGAATCGTTTTTTCGGTAAGCAATGGTTTATCGTTGCTTAAGGGGTATACTTCAAATTATCCGTAAAAACGGCTGCGCCCGTTCCCATTATCCTAAGACGTCTTTTTTTTTTTTTTTTTTTATCACGACGGTAATATTACAACAGTTCGTCGTCGTGTCGGCGCAGGACCGCCGTCGCCGTCGCCGAAAACGACGGCGTCGACCGCGACTGCGTATCGTCTCGCACGGTTAAGCGACCGCCAAAGCCTGAAACCCCGCGACCTTGGAAACGACGGTATCGCACACGACTTTCGGGGTTCGACGACCCCCAGACACGAAATCACGTGTTTTCGGCTCGATTAGCGCACACGGTCGGCCGAATCGCTTAGTCCGTTTACACGGAATGCGCGATTAATATAATAATATTATACCGTTGTTGTCCGTACGGTATAACACACGAGGGGATCCGCACAATTCCGCGGCCCCGGGCGATCGACGGATCACGGAATCGCCTTCCCGTGGCCAATGCGAATTTCACTTATTTTGTGTAAATAACCGTTTTCGTCCTCCGCCTCGGCCGTTTCGCTGTAACGAGTCGTGTGTCACGCCCCTTTTTAGATTATTAAAATACTTATAAATAAAATCTTTCCATGCGCCGTGACCCCGACACGTGCGGCGACGGCTGTCCGCGGCGGTTCCTTAAACTGCTCTTTTCGTTCCATCGCGCGCCATGACTACGTTATAGTGTAATATAGGGACTGCATAGAGAGTTTGCGAACCTAATCGGTTTTGTACCTCGCCGATAGTAATATAATCGTATGGAGAAGAGAAGGCGTTCGTAATAAGGTCGCCGACTGAAACTTCTAATTTTACTCGTACCGCGTGACCGGTAACCGTCGACAATTAAACAAATTTACAAAATAAGTCACCGATCGCACGGTAAGGGATACACCTCAGATTCTACTCGGACTAAAATCAATCAGTGTCCAAACGTTAAACCTAAATTCAAGCGGATAAAAAACCATGACGGGTTTACATAGTGCCGGGGGGAGGGGGGGGGAACGGGAAAACCGCGTCGGACAGATCACGGGATTCGGAGGCCTTTTTCCTCGCGGCCACCGGCTCGTCGGCATTAAAGACGTACGTCGATAATAAATTCTAATCTCAACAGTTGACATCGATTTCTCATTGATTCGCTTTGCTTTTGTTTTTGACAAGACGAGTTCTCGTTTTCAACGCGTTGTGACGAGTAACGCAGGCGAAAAGAAACCTTCAAGGTCAGCGTCCGTATTACATTATCGTGAAACTACCGGAATTTATTAGCAATTTTGGTAAGATTGACGACGACAAACTATAAACGGCAATAATGTTAATGATTAATTTTTCACAAACTTTGTGTGACGCCCATTGTCCATACAGTTTGTGCCTTATACGAGTGTAGTTAGTGGGTACGACACCCGACGGTTTTCACCGATTTCTCAGTGACCGTTCGCTTTGTGCGCGCGCACTGCGGGACCGCGTACCGGCTGCCGCTAACAGGTTTCTAAAATGACCGCAGGTGTGTATAATAATAATAATAATAAAACGAATACGTATCAATCAGTATCCGAGGGCCGGGAGACAGATATTCGTCGAAGGGAAGGTGTGTGGTTCGAATTTAAATATTTCAAGTTGTAAAAAAAAAAAAAAAAAATGTTATTTTTCATCAGCTCTCGGCTCTCGCGGGGAAGAGAGAGAAGAGAAACGGTGTTGATATCGTCCCGACAATCTGTGTAAACCTAGTGCGCATTATTCCGACCGTGTTATATTATCATACAGTTAACCGGGATGTTTTTTTATACAGAATATAAATAATTTAAAAATATTATCTGAAGAAAAATATAATAATCTTAATTAGGTAGGTACCCATAATATGACATATTGTACGTTGCAAAGTAATTTATGACGTATTAAAAAATGGGATCAAAACTAAACTCTTCTTTAACGACAATAACTTTCACAAACACCTCGACTATAGTTGGTATGTGATTTAAGAAAAAAAAAATCTTGATTCGTGTTTTCAGCTAAAGAATTATTATTTCTCTCGTAATATTCTCGTTTGGCAAAATAAAAATAATAATAATAATAACAAAAATAAGCCAAGTCATGTTTTTCCATTGCCGTCTTTGTGAAGTTCAGATCAGCATATTTAATCTAAAGTCAATATAAACTTTATAGTAATATATGATTTGACAATCAGAAATATTATTGAATTGTATTCAAAGTCACCTGTATAAACGGCTTTGCATAATAGAAAATAGATAAAGATAAACTACATCTGAAGCGTAGGAAGTCAATCGAGGTTGAACATTTTTTTTAAACATGAGTGCGCAGTGTAAATTTCTATTGCGAATAAGATAACGCGGAATCTTAACGAAATAGCAAATGGGCATTGAGATCCAATAATTTATAGTTTTCATAATATAATAATATGTATGGTGTATACCTGGTTTGTGTACCTATTATACGGTTAGGTACCTACTTAATGGAAAGTTAAAAACAATTTTACATTTATTATCTTCGTTACTTACGGAAAATAACATTTTATGTTAATGTGTCAGTTAAAAATAAACTAGTAAATGAAGAAAAATAAAAAAAATCCATTAAACATTCAGTTTATATTATAACAAAAACAAAATTAGTGCCTACATTATAATAACCGGGGATTATAACTTTTACCCCTAAAAAAAATTAATAAACGCAATAATATGCTCTTAAAAACATGTATATAAGCGCTTAGATATGCACTAAAAATGACAAAATATGTAAAAATGATAATTATGAAATATCTAAGAACTATAAATATAATATACTATTTTACGCATAATATTAAGTATATTTTGAAGCCTACGTTATTGAAATAGCATTCAGCCATAGGAAAAAAGCAAAATAACACTTTAGTTTCGAAATATGCGACACAAAATTTCGTACATAGCTTCGTGATTTCCTGAAACGGATTTATAGCTAACATAAGTATCTCTAAGATCACTCGAAAAAAATATGCAAATGCTAAAAGTAATGAACCTTGTAACATACAATTTCTACTGTAGATAGGTATGTACTTGTTTTGTACACAATGTATTTTGATAAACATTTTTTTTTTTTTTTTAACTTCATTTTGTATACAAAATGAGAAATAATATTTTTATAATATATCCAATATCAATTCTATCTACGATAATTAGGCACCTACCTAAGTCACATATTTAAAAAAAATCGCTATAATTCATATCTATTTACATTTTTTTAAGTGAAACGTATTGTTTGTTTTACTTAGTAAACTTAAGTGTATTATATAACACATATTATTTTCCTAATTCCGTTTACACATAGGTACCTATAGCGAAAGGTTTTTTTTTTTTGTCGAGGTCACATATTTACTATACGAAACCTTTACATAATTTTCATATGTAATTATGTATTTATGTGGTCGGTATTATACCTATCTACAATTCGTAATTTTCATACTTTTATACTATAATATTATTAAACTGTCATAATTTCGTCGTTGAAATTTCAACAATTAATCATTTGTTTTGCAGCTCATAAAATATTTCAATATTTTAAATTTATAACATCGAGAGAAATGAATATTTTACCTACCGTGTTTGTATTATTTAGGAAAAATATCGCGTTTTGAAATATTCACTATCTAAATATTATTATTCCTAGTAGTATACAGTTTTCCGAAAAATGACAAGGGAGTTGTAGGCACAGCGTGCTGCGACAACAGTCAACACCATCAATGTCTAAAAAAATTCTCCGCCACGTCCAAACCCGAAACTGTGAAAACCCGAAATGAAATCCTAAAGTCTATAAAACCTTTACGTCGGAAACGTCCCCTCTTGGAATAAGAAAAAAAAAGTCACGTGTACAAGAACCGTAATACGAAAAAAGGTATTTACCCCTTGTAATTTTTCTGACAACTAACTCTCCGGGTATGTAATACTTGGACACTGTATGATAATTTTTATGTTTCATCATACTATGTACCAATCGATTATAGCGACCCGGAAACCAGGCAGCAATCCGTTTTTAAATGAGTTGTCTCTCACTCTTTTCATACATTTAATAATAATAGGGTACTGTACGGTATAATCGGTTTCATGTTAATAGAAAAACGTAATTTTATATAGTTATATACTATTCTTATTGTTAGGTTTACTTACGTTAAAAATTACCCGATATCCAACACGAAATGTTAATACTGACGTATGGCTATGATTCAGACCGTCACTAAAGGGGAGGTTCGGGTGTTCGGACCCCACCTGAGTTTTTTAAAATAAAAAAATGTTTTGAAGTGAATATAGTTTATTTAATGTCAAGTAACTATATTTAAAAAATGTTGGACCATCTCCACCGAAATTTGTTTCCAGTTACGACCTTGACTATAATCATAATATAATATTATTATACGGGAGATATATATTAGCGCTGTTGGATATTTTTTTTAATCGATATTTCAGTTTTCACATCTATTTAGATGTTAGAAGGTTAGAACCCTTATATGCCTCTCGTTTTGAAATTTAATTTGTATTCGTTTGTTATTTCGCACAGTGGGACAGATTACATCAAAAGTTTGCTAATATTAATTTACTATATTTTGTATTATTATTATTATTATTATTCTTTTGTCCGTTTATAAACAACTTTTTGACCAGAAATTATAATCCGTTCGTCGACTACATAGGTTGCTTTTTGGTGGAAAATGTCATCTACTTGGTGTATTGAGGAGGCTATTTATAATATTTTTCTTGTAGTTTTCTTAATAATTGGGAAAAATCGGAGAAAAAGTCGGAACACGGAAACATTTACGCTACAACGGTTTCTGTGAATTTTGTCATTATTCAGTTTAAAATATTCATATCAACCTGAAATTCGTATCGAACATTTCTAGGTTTATATTATTCAAATTTTCAAAGTATTATGGCGGTTATTTAAATTTTTTTTCTGTTAGTGCGAAATTAATATATAACTCCGTAGACAAAAGCTATTTACACAAAAGGGGATAAATATGGGTAAAATTTTTTTCATCGTAATTAAAGAATAATACTCTATCTATTGACTATAAAAATTGCATTTCGTAATTAATTTAGCTTGGAAAGACTTGGAAGAGAAATTTATCGTGATCATAGAACTACAAAATTATCTCGGTAACTCTTACGTTTAAAATGTTAATTTTAGATTTAAAAAAAACGTCGACTTGTAGCTAATGGTTCAGTGATAAAATTAATTAAATACACAATGAAATCGGTAAGTTTTAGGAAAAACAGTAAAACTTTCAAAAGTTACACTGTTTGTTTGTATATTATGATGCTCGGCGGATTACCGTTCGGCCGTTGTACTCGGACAGTTTAAGTTGCACTTCGTACACAAAGCCGGTTTTTAACGCGGTACGAACTCCTATATAATATGATAAAATAGTTCAATTCGATAAATCCAATTTCTCGCAAGCTTTCGGTGTCATCGGCCCCACTGCAGTGCGTCGGAGTATTCTTCGATGTACCCCATCCCCGTTTTGAAAAATCCCGAACACGCCACGCGCGTAAGCATGGGTCGGGTAAATCATGTTATTAAATCGTACAAGAAGATACGATCCGTATACCGTATGAAAGTATTTTTTCATACGGAGACGATTATTTTAATTGCAAATAATTACTATTGCACTTACTTGGCGTACGCTTTTTCCAACAGTCCCGGCCAAAACTGATCGGTATGTGTAGATTGCAAAAACGCCAGCCGGTTGTTGACCGTTGGAAGTCGATCGTCGACCAACACTTCCATCCATTCGCCGCACCACCACAAACGAAACCGGAAAACGCCGCTGTACTCTTTGTCGCTGGAAAGCGTCTGGTCGGCCGGCACTACGCGGTAGAACAGACCTTTACAAAGGTACAACACGCCCAGACAAGAGACTAGCCATTTATCACCTGCCACAAACATATTAATAATTCCAGTATAATTCCAGTTTGCTATATAATTACTGTCGTCTTGTTTTCAATTATCTTCTATAAAAGAAGATGATACAAAAACGAAATAATATGTATATATATATTATTTACGTTTATGCGTACGGAAAAATATATCTAGTTAAACAAAAAACAAAGTGAATGTTCACCCAATTGACTTGTTACCGTTACAATATTAAATTTTTTCTATTTTTATATATTATAGAAAATTGATCTAAAATAGCTGTATGGTTGTAGTCAGATTTGTATTACGTTTATTCTGTAAGGGCATTTAAAACCCTGAATTTTCTGTAAAAACTTGAAATTCGAGCATAAAAATGCAAGTTTTAAGTTAAAACCTCCAAATTGCTTACCCTTGATGTTTACGTCACGTCTATTCAAAATACCATTCCTCTGGCTTCATTTGAGAAGTCTGTCTGGGTTTACAAAACCAAATATAAACTTTTCTCCGACAACAATACAGTTGAGCGAGTTCATATTAAAATTTAACTAAACTTTGATCATTTCAATCCATTTATAAAAAAAAAAAAAAAACTCTCAGTTCCTAAGTTTAAACTCATTTGGTCCAGAGGGAGCAGCTAAAAGCGTTCAAAAGTAATGGAAAAAATATATATATATATGATATATTATAAGTTATAACATATTTAACAAAGCACAGTAGTCTCTAAACGAAATTATTTCCAAATACTTTTTCATTTTTGGCAATGTGATTTTATTACAGTTTCATCAAGCAAAACTTTACGTCCTTTATGAAAACTTTACCTTGTACAATACAAGTTTAAGAAGTTAAAAATATGTAAATAATAGAAAGCTAGGAATATATTTTTTCCATATATCTGTAGATTAATTTTTTATATACCTCCAATTTTTACTTGAAAAATTGCATAATTTTTTTAATTATTATATAGTTTTTGTTTATACTATTTATATTTATTTTATATTTTATTTATTTATAAATTTGCATTTTTATACATAATGATAAAATTATAAACCAGTATTTCGTATACATAACCTTATAAACAAACTGTACATTATATTGTCACACTATCATTATTATTCCGTTCCGTATGAACTATCAAACATGCGTACTCGTTATAAAATAATATACTTTGGATACGTATTTTAAACGATTCAAAAATACCCTATACACGAGATAATTCAATTTTTGTACAAATAATAATCTTGCGATTTGAACGGTATCTTCTTTAAATATAAAAGAATATTCTTGATATAAGAATAATAATTAATAATTATATTTCATACGGTCGCTATCCTGTAAGTGTATTAATTCGACAATATTTGTATACGCTACACACACATTATTTTCATTATTATTATTTTTATTTTCAAACGCTTCCGAAAACTCAATGTTACAATATAAACGCAGATTTTATTCAGTTGTATCGCATGACAAAACGGACGAAAACTTTAAAAAAATATTACAATATTAATTTACTGCCGATAAAATTATTTGTTATTTACGATCTACAGAACTTGTTGTTTATGGAATTGTACAGTTTCTATTCAAATTTGTATGACGGATTTACTGCCTTTAAAAGTATCAAGCGTACCAACTCGAATATTTTGTCACTCCATTTTAAAAAAACCCAGATAATACTGCTGATAGGCATGCCAGTGGTTGTAGGAAGGAAGTTTGGAAGCATAGAGTTATTTAATTTTTGATTCAACGATAAATTATTGTTAAAGAAATACATTTCTGACCGAAATTCGGTTAAACACATTTTGAAACGCTGTGACTTTTACTAAATTACTTCAAAAAAGATCTCTTGTCGTTTTTTGACTGATTTCCGGTATACATGTTGTTCACAGACACAACAAAAAAAAAAAAACCCAATCCATTCTAGCGAAACTAATAAATTCCTCACCATGCCTATGCATCAGTGACATCACAAGATATTTAAAGCAATTATTTTAAAATGTGTAATGAGCTTACGATGAACATTTAGCGAAACAAATAGCGACATCGTAATCATGATCTATGTATCCGGACGATAACATGACGCGCAAAACAGCGAATCATTTCACAATTTTCCTTATTTGAACAAATATTGTGACTTTATTGAATGTTATTGAACGGTCCACTCTGCAAAACAATTTACTTGCTACAGAAGTAGGCACGTGCATAAAATATATTATGGCATTTATTGGATTTATTAATTACGTACTAATAAGGTAATTTTTGGACGATGTCGCAGCGTTATATTTTTCATAATTTCAACAAAATGTATATTTATTAACCGGAATCAACGATTCGTTTGGTATAAAATACCTGCTATAATACTATGAAAAATGTTTAGCAAATATTTTTCTCTGCGCAAAAATTAATTTTCCGGACAGCGCAGTAGCGAAATTGGATTTACTCGAAATACAAAAATAATAAGACACAGTAGATGACTCCAACAGAGATGGTTAACCATTTTAATTACATTTAATGTATGTATGTACGCATAATATCTCTTGGTGAATCTCCAGTCGACAAGCGAGTTTTGAAGAGTATCATTACAACGGCCCAGTCAATTCGTTCCAGTCTTGTGAACGTAACTCCGAAATCACCGGATTCACATCGCATCGTTCACGTCTCATCCTGACTGGCGTTCATCATATTTTCTTTCTTTATTTTAAGTAGTTATATACACATTGTTAATAATATTATTTGTTTATTCTATTATTTTTTTTTTTTTTTAACTAACTCGAAATTCATATACCTATAATATCATCGCGTCCATTTAAATATGGTTTAAATTTATTTAATCGAAAATTAACAAATCTGAAAAAATACGGTTGGATTTTTATTTGATTTGTTACGGTGTACCATCACAATTGTCGAATATTTATAGGAAACTACCGAATTCGGCGGACAACGTTGTGGACGGTGGACCATAAAGTATTATCACAAAAACCGTATTGTTTACATTTTGTTTTCCCACAAGGTCGTGTATAGGACGTAGGTACACAATCTTCATCCTGTGTTAACGTTCTCTTGTCGTGGTATCGCGCATCACGCTATCATCACAGATAATAATAATAATAATAATAATAATAATAATATATATATAAGCGCATGAAATCGCATTGTTCCCGTCGAATGTATAGATACGCTTGATCGATATCCACATGTAGTTTTGTTCAGTTCCGTCGTGTTGCAATACTCATCGTCGACTAAACAATACAACACCAGGTGGGAAGGGCGATTTAATTTCCTTTCGGTTGATTAGGTAATCACTTTTTTTTTTTTTTTTTTCCAATGACGCTATTTCCTAACAATATCATAATACGTTATTTAATTCGACATCCCGATTTGAAAATGTTTAATTCGCTATTATTGTAAAATTTCGCCTCGAAATAATAACTACCGTATGTAATCACAATTATCACAATTAATTCAGATACATCATATTAAAATAAAACAATTCGGCAGTTTAAGAGGTCGCGAAACAATGGCAAACGATCGCCATCATCGCCAGTCTTTTTAACGGGCAATTCAGCAAAAATGTATTCGTGTAAAACAAACAAACGAAAAAAACCTTTAAAATCGGTCTCAGAGATAACACTGATAATATAATTGATTATAACTGATGCGCATAATCGCATTATAATCGATGCGTGGATGACAACATTTTGAAAACAATCAGCGATCGGCGTTTTATCACTAAATTATATTCAACTCATTATCGAAGGTACACAGAATCGTATAAAAGTGGTTTTTCAGACACGTCGTCTTCAAAATGTAATCATCTACAAATTTTACTGTAGGTGTTTTATCTCTTAAAACGATTTTAAATGCCTATCAGTTTTGTTTTTACGCGAACGCGTATTTTGTACCTACATAATTTCCCGTTAGAAAGACAGAGACGACAAATACCACTGCAGTGACGCATCGTGACGGCCTCTTAACATTGTAATTTTTGAACGTGCCTGTACCAAAATTACAAACGCGTATAATGAAATATTTTCTCGATATAGGATCGACAATGTTGAATGTATAAGTATACCTATCTACCTTTTATAGTAAGCATGTAATTCAATCCGGTTGTTACAGTAGACCTATATATTATAACACAACATGTCTACCTAAAGTAACAATTTCGTATTACATTTCTCAAACAGTATCACGAAATTACAATCAAAAACTTGTAAACTCGATTCGATTGATATACCAAAATTATAGTTAATTAATAAATCAGGTCTCGGGGAAAAAAAATACGTTTATCATAATACACGGGGCTATTTACATTCTTTCATACGTCCTTTTATTAGATGTTGAAAATTTTAATATTCCCACAAAGAGATTACATAACAATTAATAACAAATATAATTTTCATACGCGATAATTTGTCTCCAAAACGAAACAAATTATTTACGTGTATATATATATATATGTTTATACAATATGGTAAGGTTATCTTGATTTTACAATTTTTACGGTTTATTCAATTTCTTTTCGCAGGTTCTTTTTTTTTTTTTTTTGCAATTTTTAAAGCAACAAATTCAGAAATACAAAAAAAAAACAACTTTAAAATATTCAGTATTACGTATTTATTAAGATGCTTGTTGAGATTATTCAACCATATATCATATTTAACACTTCAAAATTATCAATTAATATCTGTCTGATGTATCGCAAGACGCAAGTTCTATAGCGAGACTCTAAATACTTCAGTAACTTTTATTATACATCAATATATTGTATATTATATTAGTCAATGAATTAATCTCGATTCGATATCAAATATTATTTTTGGTAATAACGTTTTATATAAAATTTGGTCACACGCAATCAAAATAAATACAATAACCTTGTAGAATATCATCCATACTGTTCAGTTTTTTTTTTTTTACAACATTCCAACTTGAAGTCAGCAGTGTTCTTTGAACTCCAAATTTGTATTTATTATTGTTCGAAACATATTTATTCATATTCAACCAATCACCGTACGCTATATAAGTTTTTGTGAATTTTTAAAAAAAACATGCACTTTTTTTAAAATATTAAAAATAAAATGAAATTATCGCCTACGCAAGGCTGTGACCGTCACGATATAAGCTATTTTGATCCTACATAAATGTATTATTTACCTACGTATGCAATATAAAAGAAAATTGGTAGAACAGGTCCGTACATGGCAATCTTTTTTTGCATAGGTATACAAAAAAAAAAAAAAATTATGTATATATACTTACAATATTTATTCATAACGGATAAAATATGTTTGAGTAGGTACTCGTGTGTAGGTTTATACGTAAGTTCTATATTATGCACATGTACTTCAACAGTTCATTAAATCGAGTGAAAATAATTTTAACATTATTATAGGTACGTTTCATCAATGCTATTTTATGTGTATAGCATTACTGTAATACTGCAATCATATTTTTTACGATATCATACTGATGAACCGATGGAAATAACGTAAGGATTTTTTTTTTCTTTTTAACAAACAAGTTTGTTACAACATTTTTTTTTTCTCTCTGGTGATTTGTACACATTTAATGAAACTGCGGTAATTAACAATACGTAAAACCTAGTTTTATATTAAGATTTTTAATTTCCGTTAAACAGCTGCTTTACAATACAAAAGTATATTAAATATCATTTCAATATTTAATACTCAATACAGTTGTTTATAGCTTAATACTTATGTATAACGGCTTACTGTTTTGAATCGACTAGAAAATCTTAACAACTGTACAATATTGGATTAAATAGTTTTTTTTTTTTTGTTGTTGTTTTATTGTCAATCAATTTTTCAAGTATATAGTAAATTGTACAGCCATTTAATTTGAAACGGTCATTAAAGATATCGGTTAAATTTCGGCCGTACGCGTATTGGTATTGTGAAAATATCGAATTATGAATCTGTAAACCGTTGTTGTTGCAACTACGTCTGTACCGACCATCTCAAATTGCAGTCGTTAATTAGTAATTATTTAAACGACTGTAATTATTAATTACCTGCCTTAACTAGTGAGGATAAATAGTATATTGCAAATAAAAATCCATCAAGACCGTCTAATTAATTGTCACCGTATTATAAGAACTAATATATATATATATGTGTGTATAAAATAACACATATGGTTACTTTTATGAAATTAATATTATAACTTGCATGAACATTGTTTTTTATTTTAAGAGGATTTTACACGCCATCGTAATTCAATTGTAAAAACTGTTTTGCACGGGACAACTTAACTCTCAACTATTTTCACATTTTTAGTAAATGTACCGAATTTTTAAAACACATAAAGAAGAACTCAATCCATGTTAATTTTTTTCGGTGACATTTCTCATATCTTTTATAAGTAAAAATAGAAAAAATAAACGGAAGTTTGTAAATAGATAATTTTAATTATAATTATATTATCAAAAAAAAAAAACAAAAGTACACTATAGCACAGATTAAGTTCTTTAATTTGGGTTCTCAAAATATCGGTATTTCTGTTATGAATACGGAAAAAGACAGTTGTCATGCGCAAAACGGTTTTACCAAAAATTTATTTTAGTTTATATCACGACAAAAATTGCTTTCTTATGATAAGTGTTAAACATACTATACTCGTAAACATTTTATTCAATAGTGAATTTGGATATTATTGAGTTCATAAATTTCGTAAAAAAAATTTCCTATACGCAAATACGAACGAAAAATAGTTCACCGCGATGGCAAGAGAAATATATTATGAGTATCCTACATAGTTTTGAAGATATTTTGTTTGTGCGCAATATTATAATATATAAATCGAAACTTATTAATAATAACGATGAAATAAATATCAAGAAATCACTAAACACGGGGTACTGTTAGGTATATAATAGGTTGTATGTATTTACGGTCGATTTCGGTTGAAAAAAAAAAAATCATTAGCAGATATCACATTACAACAAAGTCGACAGAATAAAATCCCATAATAATAATTTTTAAATATAACAATATGAAGGGTTAGAGATAATCCCATCAACATTGTAATATAATAATCATATACGGGTCGTTTACGTTTAAAAATTGAACGTATATTTGTCATCCATGAGTCATGGACATACTCACGACTGCAACAAATTAAAATCCACATAACGATAAAAAATGATCAAGTTAAAACTTGATTTATAATCGTTTATAATCATGACAGTAGGTGGTGGAATACATTTTTAATGCAAACGCTCCGTATTTGTATACATTATATTTTATTTTGTTTTGCTTGTGTTCAGTAAAACTAGTTCAATTAAATTGTATTTTTAGATTAATAAAAACCAAACTCTGATTGCATGCTAATAAATTGGAAAATAATAATTAGATTTGGGTACTTTTTAAATTAAAACCAACGGTGTAAGCGTATTATTATAAAAAAAAAAAAAAAATGAATCATAATTATAAAAAAATGATTCGACAGAATAATACAATTAGATATGTATAAATATTCACCAAAAAGATATTTGTATCAAACATTTCTGTCAGAAAACACAGTCATAAATTAGGCACGGGCACTCTCTCTGCGAATGATTTTTCTCGTATATCTTTCCATACATCTATATTATATTTTATACATGTTACATAAATATACATACACACGTACAAATCACAGAAGTGAAAGTCAAAATTCTTCAGTTTTCAAAAATAAAAAAATCTAAATTCGTAGTGTACCCGTATCGATTTGCACGTATACTAGGGGAAAAACAATAGGGTTTTCGGGCGATGTAGAAAATGGTGCACGTATTATATTAGTCAGGACCGGCTTGGAAAATGTCCAAGCCCTGTGCAGTTATTTTTGAGAGGCCTCAATAAGCTTTTATTTTTTTTTTTTTTTTTTACTCAATTACTCTTCTAATATCAAGCGTAGGTAAATCTTTACAATACGATTCTTCTTAGCTCATCAATTTTAATTTGTATTTTCCAAAATTATAATGCGAAATTACCATCGTATAGCTATGATTGCGACTAGACGCGGGGCTTCTAAAAGCGCGGGGCTCTGTGCGAGCGCATAGCTTGGACTGCCTTCAAGCCGGCCCTGAAATTAGCGATTAGAACGATCCAAACGATGATTTGTTTTCTTTTTTTTTCATCCTATCTGTTTTCCAATTATAAAAAAAAAAAAAATACATCGTCTACATCGAGAACGTATACACTTACCCATTTTTCCTGGACTGATATCGAATTGAGACGCCGAATCGCTGACGAAAACCGGTCTGTTACAGATTTCCTAGAAACACAAAGCAACCGTATTATTATATTGCATAGTAAATTGGACCTATGATTGTTTGAAAGTCTATCGTACTGAAAAACGTATTTAATTACGTGAAGTATTTACAATTGAAGTAATTCAATATGATCGTCGAATGATCATAAAGCGGTCACGATCGCAGTCATTTAGTGCAATAAGTAAGCTCAGTGTTTAAATTCGCATACGGTCAAATACGTCAATAATGTTTTATACTATATAATATAACACTGTATGGACCATTTATTTTATCCCTACGCAATTCACGATTTGTTTTTTTTTTTTTCAATTAAATGTGTAATATATTAAGTATACATTACATTTTTTTTTTTAAAAAAAAAAACCGAAAATTGCATAATAAAATTATATAACTGTTATTATTTTTAGCATTTTATTTCGTAGGTAAATCGCGTAATTTACCCGTAACTCGTTCGACTGTAAATATTTTTTATTTTTTTTTCCATTCCAATGCATTTTTTTGTATATCTCACTGGTGCATCGAAATAACACGCAACCGGTTCTCCAGTTCATTGGAATATTTTCTAATTTACAATTCGAACTGCGGCAGGACAATCGTATAAATATATATATATATATATGCATATATCTGAAATACATAGCGATTCAATTGTGAATTTGCATTGTATTGCAGGAACCTATTCGCTCGCGATTATATTCTACATTTTTGTATGTATACTCACGTGTATAAAATACATGTGTACAGAGTGCCCCACGAAGATATATCCATATTGTAATATCTCCGGAAATAATAAAAAATTATCAAATACTGTTGTTTTTTATATATATATATATATGATATACGTACATATGTATATATTTATATATATATATATATATATATATATTACTCGTAGAGATACGGATTATACATATTTACAGTTGAATTCAATTTTTTGGTTTTGGTAAAAATCTTCAACGAATAACTTTTTATTTTATTATTTTTGAACGGTTTAACGATTTTATAGAATTTATTCTTTTGAAAACGTTGACGCGTCGACTTTTTAGGTTCATTAAATTCGTGGTTTTTAATAAATTCTTTAAAGTATTGCGAAAAAAATGTGCGGTCAATTAGCCATAAATAATAATAATCAATTAGCGAAGGCGATTACAGCCTGCTCCATAATTATAGGAAACTAATATTTTTTCTAAACTTAAAAAAATTATTAAAAATCACGAATTCAATGAAAAAAAAAAGTTAAAACGCCAACATTTTCAGAAGAACAAACTCTATATCTTATAGAGTTTGTCATCTTGTGAGCCATCTTGGCTACCTTCAAATTTTTTCAAAAATAATAAAATCAAAGTTATTTCGTTAGTTTATTATACTAAAACATAAAAATGGAATTAAAATATAAATATTTATATTCCTTATCTGTGCGAGTAATATAAAAAAAAAAAAAAAAAAAAAAAAAAATTATAAAATGTACGCCACCGTGTTCAGTACAGCAATGTTTAGGCCGAGGGACATTGGGCCACTCGTAACATATTATACGTGCGCGCGCGCGTGTGTGAAAGTGTAGATAATACAAAACACATGAATGAAGACCGGAGAGAAAAAAAGGTAAAAAATATAGTAATAACAAGTATAAAAAAAAAAAAAAATTATAAAATGTACGCCACCGTGTTCAGTACAGCAATGTTTAGGCCGAGGGACGCGTCTCCGGTTTAAAATATTCAAAGCCGGTCAGTTTCGCTGCAGCGGCGCTCGGCGTTTACACCGTATTATAACCTACTTACGAAACGGTCAGTGATTCTTTATCGTGCGTTTACAAAGAGTTGAAAAAAAAAATATACACCTACTTAGATATAATAATAATTGTATAAACTTAAACCTAGGTTTTTTTTTTCTTTTTTTCGCTATCTTCGACGCGTAACAGTTTTTAAAAAAAATTAATAATATTATGTACTATATTATTTTTCAATAATTTTTGACGATAACGAAGAGCGCTAACGAAATCAGGCACGTTCGGTCGTCGCCGTCGCATGTAGTCATATATTATTGACGACGAGGCTTGACGTTTTTCGGGTGCCGCAGTCGTGGGCCTCGGATACGATAAAATGTTCATAAGCGCTGGCGTAGCCCGAAACGAGGCGTTTATAAAGGCTTAACGATCCGAAACTAAAAAATCGTTACATCCAATATAATACGCATTTATCACGTTACTATAGTGGACGGGAAAAAAAAAAAAAAAAAAAAACGATAATAATATTGGACGTTTATGATATTATTTATTTGTTTCAATTACGCTTGTATCGGACTGTACACGCGACGGACGACGGCCATACGAAATTAAGGACCCGGAACACGGCGCACTACAATTTAATGCATAATAATACAATGTTGTACAGAAATAATTTGTCCGTTTAGACCGGAGAGCAGAGTATTTTTTTAAAAATAAACCTTCAGAAACGTTTGGCGGCTTAATTTTACTACACCTGCCTATAGTGTATTGAATAACTGTTCATAACTGTATTTCCAGTTCGGTCCGAAGAGGCGATTTTAAACGGATTTATTTTATTGGTCTGCGTCTAATATAACAACGTATTATAGACGATAGATACCTGGGTACGGGTGCAATAAAATAAAATCTGCAATATCTGCATTGTATATATATATATATATATACATTTACAAAGATTAACAACATAATATAGTTATTATTTCAGTAAATAGAGTTGCTTAAAAACAGGCCGGTGTGACACATGCGGTTTATTTTGATATCGAATTACACGGCCGAGTGAGAAAATATAACGTTTGCAATCGTCTATTGGTGTGTTAAACTTCGTTTGAAAAAAATCGACTCTTCTCTAAACAGTTTACTCGATAATACTTGCGCATAGATAATGGTAACAAATCAACAGATAAATCGACAAATGTAATCGTATTGTGTTTTATTGCAACTGTGTTTACTAAACGTCTGGTATTATTCTTTTTAAATGTAACATACGGTCAAAATACCATAATATAAGTAATTTGAATTGTTGTAGCGCGTGCGATTTCTGGGCGGGCTACTGTACACTTGTATATTATCGTAGGTCTAAGATAAATAGACCAGGAATGACGGGTGTTTTGCATGAGGTACTTTGAAGCCAACACGCGTGCGTTATTTCGCGTCGGACAAAAATATTTATGTTTTTCTTTTCCATTTCGACTATGATGAAATTATGTAAAACTACTGGAAATCGTATAGAACCAGCCATGAAAAATTGAGTCGATTTGCCATGACTCATAACGAATACGAATTACCGCATTCGCGAGACGTGATATCGTCTGTTTACCGATCCAAAGAGTAGCTGTTATGCGCATTTTCCAGCTACTGTAGTTTAGCTGGTGCGTTTTGGCGAGACCGCAAGTGCGGTTCGTGTCACGACTTTATCGCGATTTCACGATAATTCGTTTCGCGGTCATCGCGGGTCCGTGTATCCGTTTATGCTCTTACGGTTGCCGGTCGCGCGAACGGTCGGCGCGAACGGCGTTCCGGTTTCTCTTTCGGCGCCGCCGCGGCAGTGGAAAACGGCGCGCGAGAGACGCGAAAACGCGACGGCGGCGGGCAGGTATCGGCGGGCAGCGGCGCGCGGTGGTCCGGGGGTCCAAGGGGGCGCCGCTCACACCAGAACGTCTTATCGCGTCCGCCGGCGCCGTAAGGACAACTGGGAACTAGCGACGCGCGTGCGACGGCAACGGCAATTGACGCCGAACGCACAAGGTTCGAGTGCGCGGCAGAACAATGTGTCCGCGGAATAACGCGGGCACGGGTTCCCGCCGAACAATGCGACGGCGCGCCGGCGGCGCGTTGAAACACTCGAAAGACCCCTCGCCGAGACCGGCGACGGCAATGCCAATGTTCGGGTATGCGCGCGCGTGTACCGCCGGCCCGTCGATTTCGGGCGCGGCGGCATCGGCGCGGGTCGCGACAGCGCGAGTGCGGTGCGGTCGTACGTCCTATGGGCGCGCGCCCCGACCGCCCCGCGCGTCCCGTAATACCGTACGTCATTCCCTCCCGTTCGACGCGTAACGTGCGCACGCGGTTGAACACCGATGGGCACCGTGTACTGACGGCAACGGTAACATCGCCGTACGGTGTGACAGCGTCGCGCGTTCGGGACGATTTTTCGTCGAATTCCCCTCCACCCCCACCCCGAAAATAAAATCTACGCCGTGACACCGCGTTGAGGACCCGCAGTCCGACCGCACCGGATCCGCCGGGAAACCCGCTCGCGCGCATTGGCCGTCCGATCGAAGCGAATCCGCCAGCGGACTTCGTCCGGCGGTTAGCGGAGCGAGCACGCGGACTTTTGCGCCGAGGACCGGGTCTTTCAAGACGTTCAAGAACGATCTGCGGACTTACGCGACGGGCTGCAGCTGGTTAGAAGAAAAATTATTATCAATAAATAAAAATGTCTCGTCGAGGTCCGCCGGACCCGGCCTTTTAGATTAGCGGAGAAGCGAGAGATTTGATCCGTTGAACTAAACCTGCCGGCTTTAAACTGCAAGTATTGAATTCTTTCAAACCCTGGAAATGCGGTGTCCTTAAAACTCCACACGTGATAGAACTTTTAGAAAATTTCATTCGCCACAGACCAAATCGGTCTCGTGTATGGGCTACCTATTTTGTCTGTTATACATACAAATATCGTTACGGTAAATTTTGCGGACTTTAACTACTCGTGTGTTTTTATTTATTTTCGTTTACGAAAATGTTGAACAAAATTAATTTTGGTTTTTTTTTTTTTTTTGTAGTCATAATCCGTTCAATAATTGTTTAACGTCAAACTTGTTTAGAATATTGCCCTTATAACCCTAGGGTTGAATCATCTAAAGATGTATATGAAATTTACTTTTGTCCGCTATACTCGCTAACTCTGGTCCGGCACACATCAAAATGTTTTGAAAAATATTATTTTTGTTCGAGCCTGCATTGAAAAAGGAATGGTGATGCTATTTATAAAATCAAAGTTATGATCGTTTAAGGTTTAAGGGGAGTTAGGTTGAAAATTCGAAAAAAAAGTACATAAAGTACAATATTATTCCCTAATTATGATTAAAAAAAATGAATCAAATTTATTTCTAGAGTACTCCGATACAATAACTGGATCAATGATAAAAACAAAAATTCACCCTACGTATCATGTTATAATAACAAAAATTTTGTGAACCTACGGATTTTTTTTTGTGGTCCACCCTCATCCGCAATAGACATGATAATTATTATTCGTGTACCAATAATACTCGGGACGGGATGTTTATGCACTAAAAAAAACAAATAAAGTATCTGGAAATATACATGGAAAATATACGTCAAACAAATAATTTAAGTATACATAAGGTACAGATAATCTGACTAGGATTCAGATTTAGTCCAAGGGAAGTGATAATCTCCGTGAATCTAACAGAGTTACTAAAATTTCACAATCCGTTATGAAGAGCGTCATTATCTGTATCGTAGCGTTGCTTTTATATTTTACAGTACCGAGGTACTATCCGATATTTTTTTCACTCAATTGTATTCATTCTTTAGCGCACAAACATCACAACGGTAGACTAATAATATTGTGAACGTTATCGGTTCCAATATTCTACACGCGTATCTATATTATAGCATCTCCGGGCGAACGGTCGTCGATTATAATTATAGTAATTTTAAAGACGATTACAATATTTTATTATAATGTGAAGTATACACAGAACACTCGTACATATAATTACACAGAAAATGACATACACCGTTTGAAATGTTGAATTGCGAGCGGTTTATACCTACTTACATATTATACTATGGTGGTTCTTCCATCGTCGTGAAGTGGAACAGATTTTTTAAAAAGATGGAAAAAAAAAAACTATATTTTCGCGTACAAGTGTATTCAAATATTCTCGATCGTGTAATAAATTAAATGACTGTACAAAATGAATATGAAAATGAATACAAGGATCGAAATATTATCACCCGGGGCACTCGGAAATGGAACAAAATAAATCGGGAGTGAAGTTAATGTCTGTTAAATGTTTAGTATACAAGAAAATATAATATTCTAACGTAAGTTCCAATAATACGGATGATAATTTATATTTTATCTCGTTTCTAGATGGAAAAGGCGATGCGCCAGAGGAGGGGGAACATAAAACGGGAAAAACAATACGCAGGGCCGTAATAATCGGGAAAATAATAACAATTAGTTTTTAAAAATCAGAATGTTTTTGTTACTTTGTACAATTGGTCGTGTTCGCGTCAACTTTTTTCTCCTGTTGCCTTGCTCATAAAATCGTGATTTATTTTCGTTTAAATGTCCGACGCGAGTACATACACGCACTATGGTTGGCGCGCGAAGCTAATCGCATGTTAGATTGGGAACTGTTCTTGAACATTATATTTCTGGGTGCATTTTTTCCATTTACACAGCGCCTCCCTATTTCAAGTAGGTAATGGTTTTTTATTTCCCCAGATATGAACATATTGTAGGCATTCTGTATTTCGGTACAATTTTCTTAGTGAATTCTCGTGGCTATCCGGCTTTTATGTGCCTCTGACGCGTCAATTATTCCACGTGTTGATAAACATTTTTTTTTTACCATCAATTCCGATCTATTTTCTTTTTAACGATATAAATAATACTCATATAGATAGATATTAGGTATAAAGATAAACCCACCACGCGCAACCGAATAACGCAAGACTACATTGCGTTCACACGGTTTATACGCGTTCTGAAAAATTGAATTTCACAGACGCGATCGTTGTCTATAGGTATAATACCTTATTTATCGGATTTTAACGTATTATTTTCTTTACGGGTCGTTGTATCCATCGTCTCGTATACTTAATACTTATATATAGGTATTATAAGCCGCGTGGGTGCCCGATCATCGTCCTACTACTGTAGCTACTCGTATATAATATAATACAAGACGTGATCGCCCACCACCTGCGCTTGTAGATTATTGTAATAAACTCGGTTGATACTGTATATTATCTTATATTACTTCTATTATTGTACTGACCTTGGGTCTTTTCCACACGAACTGGAACGGTGGCTTTTGGTGGTAAAACACGGATGACTGGGTGGCCGGAAAATCGGGGTCCTCCCATAATTCACCGCGTTTCTGGCACATTCTGTGAATCCTGTCGTAATCGCCCATTGCAGAAAGTTCTGAAAAAACAACGATATTTTATGTGATAAAAATACATTTTACGCAAAATTAAACCGATTAAAAAAAATGAATATCGTTCCATAAATCGATTTAAATTGCACACGATTGATTTAAATTTAATAATACACGCACATATGGCTGGTTAATTTACGTTTTTTTTTTTTTTTTTGATTCCGAGTAGAGTGAGGAATGTATTGGTTTTACAATTATGTTTATTATTATTTTTTTTATGTGAACATTTTTTCTACCAGAAAGAATACTCTGATTATCAAGAATAGCACCTACCTTTCTGAAAGGAAATGTTCTCTGGGCGAAACTTTCGAGAAGTCATTTTTTGAAATTCTAATTAATATTCGAGATAATGAAGAAAACCTCGGTCTTTAGGTTAAAAACAATTGAAAGATTAAAAATAAGGTTGTCATTGGCAACCGTTTTTATTTATTTTTTGTTATTATTAAGTTTTTATTATTTTAATATTTTTCAAACAATCATTGTCGTCATGGAAACGCAAATTGTTGTAATCATTTTACCATTATATGATGTATACCATATATTTTATTGTTGACAAAGTAACACTATCAACTGAACTTCGCTCAGAATCGTTTTTTCATTAGCAATGATTTATCGTTGCTTACATATGTACATTAAATTCCCGTCTGTATCCTACCTTCCCAATTTCCCAAAAATTATATAAAAAAAAAAACAACTAATAACTAACAGAACTTCATTAACTGCAGTGATATATCTATAATGCAAACTATTTTGTTTTTCATACTTAAAAAGCTAACGAGTTTAGCTTGATTGTTCAATAATGCCCGTAAACCAATGATGCATTCACTTGTATATTATTATTGGTCTCATGAAAGAATTGCTTAAATCAATTATATTTAAAAAAAAAAAAAAGTAATAAAAGATAAGGAACATTAATGGTTTACTAAGAGAAAATTATGGAAAAAAATGAGATAAAACACAATTATAAAAAAAAAAAAATACCAAAAATGGATTTAAGTACTTCTTCCCTGTGATCAAAGATTTATAATAAAAAAAAATTTGATATTATTATTATTTATTTTCGCAATATTTTTTAGGACAGCACTTTTTGTTTTTTTTTTTTTTTATACATAAAATATTCGAAACCGTAATTAGCTTTTATATAATTGTGGGAATAGTGTGTTTACAAAATAGAACAACGTAAACATTCACATTGATAGCATTAAAAATATATACATCACACTAATCGTGCATTATGTCTAAGTTCAAACATAATTTAAACGGGAAATGTACTCTCGGCAACAGATATGTTGTTCGTTTAATATTAACATATTATGCATTATTTCATCTTTCTAGCGTTTAACTTTTTAATCTGTACCTATACGCGTGTATAAAATATGTATTTAGGGGTCTTTGGGCGATTGAGTATTCGTTTTATAGGGTCGCCTCAGTACAAATGTTCAGAAACAGTTTCATTATCGGCTTCGTACGAATTATGTATAGTGCCCGTGATATGTTTCAATTTATATAATAAAAGTAAAAAAATCAACGATTTACGATTTTTGTGTTTTCAGTAAGAATATGCAATTAAACTGATAACTATTTTGGTAGAAAATATCGGTATACAGTTAGTTTTGAATACACGTAGTTTATGGTAAAGTTGTTGTTTTATTATACTTGGTAACATAATTTGTTGTTTATGTGGATCGAGTGTATTTTTCGCATACAAAATGAAGTTACGTCGAGTCGTCGAAATTCCCGGATTCGGAGCCCGTAGCATTAATCCACATGGAGTTTTAGGAATGCGGTCCATTTGAACGACCCAACATATTATATTCGATCCCCGACTCCCGGCTCCTCATCGGGACTCCGGAGGGCATCTCGAGTAAAAGTCAATTTTTGCACGATGACGCATATATGTTCTGTCGTTTATTTATATACATACGTATAATTTTTTTTTTTAATTAGGTTTCACGCGCAGCTGGCACGTAGTATTAGTATACTGCGGCTTGACATCATCGACCCGAGTTTAAGGTCAACGTATCGTTCTCCTCCCACGACCCGAGAGACATAAACGTGGTCATCGTTTACGGTAATTTTCCACTTCAGTACTGGATTTTATTATTTTTTTTTTACAAACAATTATGGCGCCCAAAACGTTAAAAAAAAAAAAAAAATGATATACAATTGGCAATATATTATTGAATTTACTTTTAGTACCTGATTTTTCGTCTTGCCTACAACAATAATATGAAACTATAATACGCACGGATTACGTGAACTGCCTCAAAAATGGATAAACAACAATGTCTTTGATTATAATAATGTAAGAAACATCGCACAGCAGTAAAGTTTGCATTAGTTTAAATTTGAAATCATTGAACGTACGTCGTTCCAAAAACATTTATTTAATACCACATACCTACGCTATATTATACGAATTACGTAAAAATGATAATATAACTTTATTTTTAGTGCTAGTACCAATAAAGTTTAACTTAATTTAAATGGTATTACCGTGTATAGTTTCGAAGTTTAATACCTGTTTATTAGTAATATTATCGCACGGCTCTCAACGTATTTGTGATATAATTTTAATAGTAAAGTTAATATATAAAACAAATTTGAGTTAAACGTTTCAAATTTGTCAAGTATATGTCTTCACGACATACCTCGAAAATTCGTTTAATAACACAATCAATTATTAAATCACGAACATTCGTGTGACAGTGTAATGACAAGCGTGTTACTATATGTCCTGAATAATAATAATAATTTACAACGCAATTTTAGGCATTAAAAACAAACCAAAAAAAAAAAAAAAGACACAATTATTTAGATGAATGGCATGCGATTTGTATTTTTACTTGGCGGCAGTCTTGTAAAATATTCGAACAAACGTATTCAAATACTATTTCTATATTCGAATACTATTTTGAATACTTTTGGTGAAAATAATCGAATGCATATTTTGAATACTATTTATTATATTTTTTATTCATTGAAAAATAATTTTATTCTGAAACTAATAATAATTTTCAATTTTCAATCTAAAACCTAAATCGTAGATTTTTACAGCTACATAATTAATTATGCACGTAGGCAGTATTTAGTTTTTATGCAATATTTTTAGGCCGCCTTAATATATAAATTAGTTGTTAAATCTCTAACGAATTTCATACCGACCCATTATTATATTCGTATGGTGTTAATGGTGTTAATATAAATATATTAAGATTTAATACATCGAATTTGTTCATGAATAAAATGTCAATAATAAAAAAGAACTTTGGTGTATACGTATATTATATTTATTTATATTTTATATAATAATGATGCCGAATGTACGCCGATTGCATTAGAATATTAAAAAATTGCCAAGTAATTCGGTTCGGTAGTACCTGTATAATAATATAATAATATATTGGGCGTAATATAGACAGTTTTTTCTTTAATATTACATTTTCAATTGTACGTAAGTGTATAATATACAAAAAAAAAAAAAAAAAAAAAAAAAACCAAAAAAAAATTTTTTTCTTTTTTTTTTTTTTTTTTTTTATAGAAACGCAAAAGAAAGTGTATATAGGTATGCGTGTGTATATATATGTATACGCGAATTCAAAACGTAAAACACATATAACACCTATACATCCGGACGTAATAATACGAGTCTGTACGGGAAATTTCGCGGTTTATAATAACAAATAATGGCAAAACATGAACTATATCGCGCGAACATCGGACATTTTTGTCTAGGTTCAACGTCCCGATAACTCAACGGCGTCGCAGACCGCGTATCGCGCCGCCGTTGTCGGATACTGTGTTGTACGGGTGGTTTGCTCGCGGTGTCCACCGGCCGATGTTAAACAGTCGTTTCACGTTCGCGCGTATTGCCCGGCCACGATACGTCCGTGGAACGTCGCGAATGGAAGCGCGCCGCGGCAACGCAGTCGAATGGGCAATACCTACGTGTGCGGACCGCACTGCAACGCCGGGGCCAAATACGTGCGACGAATACACCGCCGACGGTCGGAGAATATTTCCAAACTGCGAAAAAACGAAAAAACAAAAACAAAAAAAAAAAAAAAACCTGTTGCCTTTCCGTCACAGTAACAATACAATATTAGCACAATGGTCGCGGCGTGTCGTCACAAGCTAACGAAGCTAAACAGCGGCGAGCGGTTCGTTCACGGGCGTATAAAAATGATAACAATACCGTTTAAACGCGCAACGGTCGAAACTGTCGGGAGTTTGTAACGAAACGGTAATGTTACAAATCGTACGCGCCGGTGTTTTAATAAAAATCAACACATTTGGTGTGCGATATACTTACTTATTTACGCAGTGCCAGCCCAAAAAAAACTTTCAAATAACACGCCGCAGTTATATATTTAGGGAGTGAAATTATACATTTTTTATGTACCGATTGCGTGGCCGGATTAATGAATTTAGCCAACCTAGGCCGACCAATTCTCGGGGCGTCCAAAATTCACTAACCATTAAAAAATTGCTTCTTATAGGTATAAGAAACAACCTACTTACCAACTACCTGTATACATATATATATTATGTTTATTTACATTTAATCGTTTTTAAATATTTTATAGGTTTTTTTTGTTGTCGCTTTTTCTTTTAGAAAACTTGAAAACTGTTTGAAAATTTTACTCGAAGTTCATCATAAGTAAGACTCAGTGATAGAAAAAAAAAGTTTAGTGTAATGTAGTGATTTCTTTTGTGAGTGTTTTAAAAAAAAATGTTTACGAAGTCACGTCATTTCAAAATATGTTTAACCGAACTTTGCTCAGAATAATTGTAGTTAGTAAACAGCAGTTGAACGTTGAATACAGATATAAATTGTAAATAACCGTTTATATTACATTTCAACTTTTCACATACAACAGCGATACCTGATAGCAATTATTTGTGTTGTATTAGTATTAATGAGATAATTGTAGACAAATCACGATTCCGAAATTTATGTGGGTGCCTATTTTTTTTATTTTTTTTTTTGAGGGGCCATAGACCAGGGCCCTATAAATCCCTCGCCCCTATAATCTGGCTCTAATCTACCGAGTGCGATAGTCATTATGTTATCTGCTATCGTGTACAAATAAAATAGTATTAAACTTTCGTAAAATATTATCCTTAAAATTATATATGCATAAATACGAGTATATCTACTCGCGTACGCCTTTACATGCCAGCTAATTGTAATATTTGTTCGTCGGCTGGAAATTCTTGAAAAATTGTATCACGCGTTGCAAACCACTTAATCGATAAATTGCCAAAAGTTATTAATATCACGTCCTCAAGATATACGTGATCATTGCTACTCAATTGTGTATGACTGTAAAAGCGTATTATAGGTAGAAGCATACTTGACATTAAAAACATAGCCGGTAAATGTAAACGTTTACATTTTGATTCGCGAAATACGTTTTTCTCGCACAGATCGCCGATCAAGAACATTTAGATTTTTAAATGTTCCTTAATCGAAAATTCGATTTAGTCAGAATTTACATTGGTTTAGATAAATGCGAGACGACCTCGAAACGCAATGACCTAATAGTAAAATTAAAACGATGTCAATAAACCGTCATGATTGGTTTTTGTTTGTTTTTTATTTATTTCACTATAAACCGATTTTAAATATTATTTGTTAATAGAATTATGTCATCACATTTTAATACGTAGAGTAAATAAGCAATGTAAAAAAATAATTAATTAACTATTTCTGACTGTTACAAAGATACTGTATACTGTACAACAGTTTCACGCATGTACGATTCCCCTTTTTAAATTTTAAAAGGACCTATAATTGTTAAACCGATACTTTTGCAGTTAGAAAAACAAAATAATTATCCGTGTGTTTTTAATGCAATATCGTATTAGTTATCATAGCACTGAGATAACTAATAGAAATAATTATAATCGAAACCGGAATTCATGCATTCCAATACCTACACGGATTTTAAAAAGTATTGTAACACACGCATAGTATATTATATACCTTGAGACGACGCTATACCAGTATTTTCTGTCTCAGTCTTGTCAACTTATTTTACTTCGTACATAAAATGCAGCGTTTGGTTGGAAATTAGAATTTAAACACAAGATACTACAGCTATTAAAACAGACGTTACAGTTATTAAAAAAAAAAAACAAAACAAAAACTAATATGACCATAGTTATTTTTTTGACATTTTTTTTACAAAAAAGATACGTAAATCCCTAAGAAATATTCTCCTATTTAAATTTCGTTATAATTTGCATTTAAACTTTAATTTTAAACTAACTGCCACAATTTATATGCCCTAAGTAACGTAGTTTTTTTATGCTAGTTAGTATGTCCGTTAGTTTGACGGAGACTACGTAATGCGGCTATGAAATCCACTTAAATATGTTAACGATTTTCAAAAACTCAAAGTTATCTAAATTGTACAGTTGAAATTTGAATTTATTCGTAAATTTCGCTCGATCGGTACAGAGTTGCAATATCCATGGTACGGTAATAATGGATAAGTACATAATGTTTAGTATAGATCGGTAATCGTTCGTTAAACATAATATGTTAAGAATATATATATATGTCAATTAATGTTGAGCAGTTCTATATCTGAATAATATAAAATTACAAAATTAAATTGCTTAGTTTAGATATAGGTATATTCAATGATAACGAAAGTTAAAATTGAACAGTTTTTGTTTTAAAAACTGTCGTTGTTTATCGAGTTATTTACTTATAGATAATATGGTATGGAATTTTTTTTTTTTTTTTAGTTTTAATCAGTAGAATGAGTTGTAATTTGTATAATTAATTTTACTTTGAAATAATTGGTTGTTAATAAACTTGCATTTAGGTGGCTGATGGATTTTTAAATTAAATCATATTCGCTATGACAATAAATGTAGCTTATTTAATAAGGTGCCCATCAATTTATAGTTTTAGTGACTGGTCGAGAATTTGTTAAAAGAAAATCAATATCAATTCGAATGTATTTACTTATTCGAAAAGCAGACTATGCGAATGCTTTGGTTTCAATACGAGTCCAATAAACGGCATCTGTTGTACCTATATATTTTTATAATTTATACAAACACTATAAAATATCATCAAAAACTATGAATCAATTTTCGGGCATAATTTTTCTTTCCTATTGTATAGAAAATTTGGTTACCTAGGTATAGGAAGCATGCATTTTAAATATATTATTTCATTAATGAAAATAAAAAACAAAACATTATAGTATTCGATGAGCTACCTAAATATTACAAAATAAAGAAAAAAAAAACAAACGATTATGAATATCATAAAAAATGTGTTTACACCGATGGACAGTATTCTCATGTTATTATACTCCAGACAAGAACTGATCCTTGGTCATTGCATGTAAATTCATAATATTGATTCACTAATTTACCCTTTCCTAAGTTAACCTTTGGTTTACCATTTTTCCCTGTCTATAGCGTATGATTTGAAATAATTTCGTTAATACATTACATTTTATTGTGTATTAAAAGGACGTGTATTGTTAACTCTTAGAACAGCGAAAAATTAACATTTAGGTATCATATAAAAACTTACGAATCCAAAGTCCAGATTTCGGTTAATACAATAATACGACAAACTTTATTAGCACGCACAAACTTTTAACGACGTATCACGCGAGACGATAAAATTATTAATTTACATTTAACTGAAACAAAAAAATAAAACACAATCAAGTCACAACTAGAACGGACACGCAACCGGATCGGACACACAACCGCACAGCAGGATGAACACCTGTAGACTAACTCCGTGCGGAAGGCTGCGCGCACTAGTTCAGGAGAAACCTGTACAGCCGCCGCCGTTAAGTTGTAACTCGAGAATATGTGCCAGCGAATATTATCTAAGTGTAGAGCCCGAATTTAAATGTTACTGGTTACTTTACATACACGAAAGCATTTTTTTCGTTTGTCTTACACCGTAACGGCACTGCTGTAACTTTAATCGAACAATAATCATATTATAGTTTGTACATTTTACAATTTCTACAGTATGTGTAGTAGGGAACATCATTGAATACTAAATATTTCGAACAATAATTTTAGATTGTTATTGTTTTTTCAATTATTTTAATTATTAATGCAACCATTAAAACTTAAAAAATATTTTATTAAATTGTTTTTAATTGTATGTATGTGGCGTAGGTATTTAAAACGACACGAATTTACTGGTAAAGACTATACAACATTAGACTAGGCATCCGTTTTTATCTACGGATGAGATATCCATCCAACAAACAGTGTCGTCCCTATTGCTATAGGTCTTATATGGAAAAAATAAAAAAAAATAACTTACTTAATTATAAACAAAAATTATTTTAACAACCACTCTAAAAACTATCAATAATTTAACAATATATATAGTATTTGAAGTCTAAAATATCTCACTAGAATACTAATTAGTAAAATATTTTATTCATATATGAAACAATAAAATTTGAGAAAATATGAATTATGAATAAATTCTGAGCGAAGCTACTGGTTTTATAATGATGTCTATTTTTTTTTTTTTTTTTTTATCAACATTTCTACCAGAAATTTTGACCCAATTTTCAAGTGTAGTATCTACCTTTTTTGAAAGGAAATTTTATCCAGGTGGTACTTTAAAGAAGTCTTTATTTGATTTCCCGAGTGGTTTTCATAATACATGGGAACGTAAATAATTCATAAAAACGTAGGAAAAACGGGCAAATTAATAAAAATGAATTATATACAATTTTTTTTTTTTTTTTTTTGTTTTGATTCAATTATACATATTCGTCTAGACCTGACATTTGGACGGAAAACTTATATTTGCCTTTTATAGACGTGGTAACATTTTTAATTAAAAAATACTGTCATATTTTGACGAAAACCGTAAATATTACGGCATTTCAACTCCGCTCAAATGTTTGCATATTGTATACATTAAGTCCCTCAATATATCCCATACACTGTGTATACGAAACGTAGATGGTAAACATAAATAGTTTACAATTAGCGAATACCAGTTGTGAAACAGTGCCACGAACCATTTGTTTCTGTCTGTTGTTATTTGAACCGATGTCTCACCAACAGCTTAACGGATCACCGAGTATCTCCTCGGCAGTATATACCTATTATGCCGGAGAGTGTTAAATCCTATACATAATTTGTTTCCCGAAAACTATAGAAAAGTGGGACGACTATGAATAGATTCGCTATTTTTACTAGATATTTCGAAGAATATAATAATGTACACTTATCACGGTACGTGCGCAATTCGCGGATGTAATACGATTCACGTAAATAAAATAGCCCGTTTTTGAATATTGACGATTTGTAGATGCAAACATATTTTCAGAAAAATATTCGGTTTTTAATCGATAAGCCATACATTCATACCGCGATCATCTAAAGAGGAATATTATTCGTGTCAGAAAGTTTAGTGTCGCGCCACGTTGCTTTTCTCCGAAAATTATCGTTTAATACCACGGGCATGCTCCTATTGCAAGTGGAAAGTTAGAATACAGTTAATCGTTTGTTTGTATATTTAATATGAATATTCTATTAATTTGTAACTACAAAGTAAATTACAATGTTTTCGATGTATTTTCATTTCAAGTTTTCGAAAAAAATTCACGAACCGAAAAATTGAATTCTCCTAAATAGGATAATCGTTATTTTCATTATGTTATTACAAGTTATAGCAATTCAAACGTTTCTAAAATATATCCGTACACGGTCCTACGTCTACCAACGATTTCGACATTAATATTTTATAATATTATTATAAAAACAAACATTACGTAAAATAAATTACATTTACCATAAATAGGTACAAATGTCCATTTTACGCAAAAACGGTTAGGAATGGAATAATATACAATATTATATATTTTAGAAGTAATAAAATATGATTTCCAATCGTTTTAAAGATTGAATATTTTAAAAACATCATTACCAATGAACTGTTTTTTAAAAATCAAAAATCTTCGATACCAACATTTTTACAAAATAAAAAAAATGATTTCTATTGGAGATTATTATGATGATAATGAATTTTACCTCAGTGAGAGCTCATTTGCCTGAAATTTACATGCGAAATTATGAAACCAATAATATCATTAACAACAAAATATACAGTGAACACGTTCGTTTTATTTAGAGGTTCAAATAGACAAGCAAAAATTTAGTTAACTACTCAAACAAAATAAATAAAAACATTCAATTTACACTCGAAATACAAATGAACAATAAATTAAATTTCTTAGATCTTAGAGTTTCCATAATAAACAATACATTTGATTTTAGTATTTACAGGACACCTACACAAACTGATGCTATAATACCACATGATTCTAATCGCCCTTATTCCCAAAAAATATCATTTTTCAATTCAATATTCTACAGGCCTGAGCGTATTCCATTAAATAAACAGAATTATTAACACGAGCTCAGTGTCATCAATAATATAGCTCATTTCAATTTAAATACCGTTAAAAAAATCCGAAAACTTATTAAAGACAAAAATAATACACAACTCAACAAATAATGTTGTTAACTAAATTTTAGTATGAAATATCAAAATAATATGTATAACCAATTCGCTAAAATTCTGAACAATAATACAAATAATGTAAAAATAATAGAATTAAAAACTTCACAAAACATCCCCCTTCTATCGAACACGCTGGCGTGTACAAACTTAAATGTAACCGTAATAAATTGTACACAGGTAAACCAAATAGAAATTTTAAAATAAGATATAAAGAACACATTTTCGAAATAAAATGAAAAAAGACTGCTCGTAATTCAAATTTCACTAAACATGTTTTAAAAAATAACCATAATATAAGTTTTGATATTAATACAGACTTACAAGTAGACATATTAAATACCCGAAATGACGTTGACATTTAATTCAGTTTTAGAATAATTAGACATACACAATGAAATAAAGAAAAATAATTGTAATTATGTTTTAATTGTTCAAATCGATTTTAAAAATAATAACTCATAGGTATCAATACGTATTAGATTATAAATAATAACCAAATAATTTATATTTCTTAACATATCAATGTCTAATAATTTTAAATAATCCATCAAAATAAATTATTTCTATATTCTATGTAAAACAACCAATTTGTATAAGTTTGTTTTCTATGTATTCCGTCATTTAATTTTTTTATATTCAGTCGCGTTTTGCATTTTGACTGAGATATACCTGACGATGAATTTTTAATTCGGAACCAGACGTATAATACACTCATCATAATACTTCGGGTGACGCATTGATTCATTTATTTATTTTGTTTATGCATTTACATTTTCGTTTATATATTTATTCACTATAACTATTTACTTTGTAAAATTATAACTTTTGATTTTGATAGCAAAATGTCAACCGAAATATTTATCTCATTATGACATATTACATATTCTATAATATTATATAGGTAGTTATTAAATTTCTTTGAACCAACATTTCTATTATCTTATTATAAATAATTTTGAGTATCTACCTAAATTTTATGTAATTGGTTTGGATTAGCAAAAGCGAACTTAATAGGCTGGATCATAACTTCAAATCTTTTGAGGAGAAACGATTTATATTGTGAAGTAATCAATGACCATATTGAAATAATTGTTCACTAGAGTACGCTAGAATATTGTTAAACGGGCCTCAGGCACGATATTATATTATATTACTATTGTGTTCGTGTTTGAGATTTAAGATAATATTGATGCATTTTATCCGCTAGATCGCATGACATATATTTCATTTCTTATTAACTAAAGGCAATCCAATATTATTATTAAAATTAATTTTTTTAAAACAAATTTGAACGTTTAAATTTTAATCTTTGAATTTAACTAAGATGTAGTATAATTTTGTTTTATATGAAGTAAACTCCAGTTTACAAAATATGAATGTAATATTAGAAATTGAATAATTTGTTAACATTAATATTTATCCTAAACTTAGTTAATAACTAATGTTGAGTAAAAAAAAAAATATATATATAAATATGATAAATAATTATAACAATTATGAATATCAATCATAAGCAGAGGTGTATTTATGAATTTAGCACCCTAGGTACACGCATTTCGGTGCCCCATTTTTATTTCTGATTAACAACATGGACATAATTCGCTAGACGACGTAGTTTCTCATAGTACCTTCTAATAATTAACTAAATATAAACGAATACCTACATATTTCGTGTATTTTCCATTTTTCTCGGTTTTTCCCATTTGTCGATAAAAATCCTGAGAAAATCGAAAAATGACCTTCCCACATTGATTTCCTTTTAGAAAAGGTACTACACTTAAAAATCGAATCAAGATTTCTGGTAGAAAAGTGGTGCACAGATAAAATAAAAAATAAACATCTTTGTAAAATATAAGCTTCTTCGCTCCACTTAGAATTAAATACAAACCTTGAATTAAAAAAAAAAAAAAAAACCTAATACAGTTGCAGATAAAATAACTTTCATATTATTATATATTTAATGAGATATTGATATTTGTATCTGAGCTTAAACATAATTAGTTTACACAAGCGAAAAATTGATTGCCCAAAGATGATTGGAGAATTTAAAACCAAATTGTTAGTATACTGTCTACTTCTACCGAAGAACGGTAAAATAGGTACAATATTAAACAAATATTATT